AGTTCTATTTTTTTATTTTATTTTATTTTATTTTTTGAGACAGTGTCTCTCTATGTAGCCCTGGCTGTCCAGTAACTCACTACGTAGACCAGGCTGGCCTCAAACTCATAGAGCTCTTCCCAAGGACTGGGATTAAAGATGTTTGCCACCATGCCTGGCCCATACTTTCACTTATTTGTTGTTCGTTTGTTTTATGTTTAGGAGTGTTTTGCCTGCATGTAAGCAAATCATATGCACGCAGTGCCAGTGGAGGTCAGAGAGGGTATCAGATACTCTGAAACTGCAGTCAGAGATGGTTGAGGGCCATCATGTGGGTGCTGGGAACGAAACCCAGCTCCTCTGCAAGAATAGCAAATGTTCCTAACTGATGAGCCAACACTCCAGCCCAGCTGGCCAAGACTCTTAGAACTGCACCATCCTATATGTCTGGACATTTCCACTTAATGTAGAACTTACACAAAAGACACAGCAGTGGGACCAGTTGGTCTATGACAGTATCTGAAGGAATCGGCCAAGATTAGTGGCAGAGTTAAAGGAACGATCAGTCTTAATGACCTCTAGGAATATGTTCTGCACTAACTCTTTGTGCTGCTTGATGTGTTATTGTGCTGTAGACAAGCCTGGTGGCACCGCGCAGCTCAGAGACTGCAGCTCTTCTCAGGCCCGTCGGTTCTGTTGGAGCTCTGTCTAGAGGATGCTCTTGCTCAGTCTCCCAGTGTGTCTGATCATCAGTACCATGTCATCAAATGAGTTACTTAAACCAGGTAGTTAAAGCCTATCAGTGATGTCAGCAACTTCACCGTATCACAGTGCCATTCAGCTTCGCTATAGACAAGTTCTGTGAAAATTACACAGAAAACATTTCTGAGCCTTATCTGTTTATGGGGAAGGATTTTGATTATTTTCTGGATTCCAGGTTGGGCTGGGAACAAAATCAATCTCCCTGTGTCTGTTCAAAAGCATGGACCAAAATTGGCCCCCATGGTGCGTCATTATACCACAGAGGCCAGGCCTTCCAAAAGGGAAGACACAAACGGTCCTCAGGAGAGTACCTATCTATCCTTCCTAGTGTTCCAAGGGCTCTGCCTTCTGACTCTTGAAGCAAGGGAGGTCAGAGTGCAGGAGAGCATTTTGGAAGCCTCCGTGGAATAGGGTAGAAGGCTGTGAGATTGTCCCTTGAGCCCTGGCAGCCATGGTGGACGGTACTGCCTGTAACTACTTTGGCCTCAGTATGCATTAAATAATCCGGCCGGGGATTATCTAGCATTATTCATGGACTTGGCCTGACCCTCCTCTTCACTTCTCCAACCTTTGTTCCCGTCCTGGGAGAGATCTGCTTGCTCTAATTAATCAGTCTTTTCCTCTGAATGCTTCTCTTCATTTAAAGTAAGTCCCAGCTGAGCTCGAGGACACACCTTTGTAAATCTCAGCACCCAGGAGGCTTCAACAAGAGGATCTAGAATTTGAGACCAGCCTGAGCTACACATAGTAACAACCAAACTTAAAAAATAAAATAAAACAAAAGGCAGAGGCAGGTGGGTCTTTGTGAATTCAAGGCCAGCCAAGTTAACATAGTGAGATCCTGTCTCAAAAATAAACAAGTAAAGGAGCAAGGAACTAGAGAGTTGGTTCATTAGTTAAGAGCCCTTGAGAGAACTTGAGTTCAATTCCCAACGTATCCATTTGATGCGAAGTCATTTGGCCCACTGGTGGCTTCTGGAGACTGTATCCTTCCTTGCACTTTTTCTTTCTTTCTTTCTTTCTTTCTTTCTTTCTTTCTTTCTTTCTTTCTTTCTTTCTTTCTTGCCTTTCTTTCTTTCCCTTTCTCCCTTTCTCTCTCTCTCTTTCTTTCTTTGTTTCTTTCTTTCTTTATTTATTTATTTAATTAAAAAGTATATGGGCTGGTTGAAAAGATGGTTCAGCAGTTAAGAAAACTAGCTGTTCTTCCAGAGGTCCTGAGTTCAATTCCCAGCACCCACATTGGCAGCTCACAGCTATCTGCAACTCCAGTCCTACGGGACCCGACACCCTCTCACAGGCATACATGCAGGCAAAACACCAACACAAATAAAATAAATTATTAAGAAGTGTATGGGCATTTGCTCTGTGTGTACAACTGCACACCATTTGTGGACCTGATGCTCACGGGGGCCAGAAGAAGCATCAGATCCTCTAAAACTGGAGTTACAGACGTTGTGAGCAGCCTTGTGGGTGCCGAGGAATTGAACCTGGGTCCTCTGGAAGGGTAGCAAATGCTCTTAATTCCCTTGGCCGGAGATTCTTTATCTAGTTCCTCTTCTTCTTCCTATTCTTCTCCTCCTCCTCCTCCTCCTCCTCCTCCTCCTCCTCCTCCTTCTTTTTTCTTTTTTTGAGATAGGGTTCCAGTATGTAGCCCTGGATGTCCTGGAACTCTATATGCAGATCAGGCTGGACTCTAACAGGCATCTGCCTACCACCACCACCCCTGGAATACCGGGATTAAGGGCACATCCTAACTTTTCTGACTGTTACAGCCAGGGCTTCATTTAAGCCTGCATTTTCACAGCACATAGGGACTAGATAGCAAATATGAGAGCTATCTTTCTTAAGACTTGATCATTTTTCCAATTTTTTGGGCTCCCAAAAGGAAACTACGTCCCAAATCATCAGGAATCAATTTTAAGAGAGTGATGTCCCATTCCCAAAAGGCAGGATGGGTGGATTTTTTGGTGGTTTGGTGGGTTATGGATATTTGTTGGCATTTAAGGGGATTGGGCTGCAAGTTGTACAATGGTCTTGATCAGGGAAGAAACAGGGTATAGAGGCTAGACTCAGGGATTCCTCTCTCTTTTTATTTTCTCTATCCTCTCTTTCTTATGAAGAGGGAGAAGGGTTGGAAAGAAAAAAGGAAGGATATAGAACTAATATAGGAATTATAGAAAAACAAGGTAGATTATTGAACCTACTCTTACAGATCTTTGTATATTGATACAAAATTAAGGTTCTATTTGGTTACATTGGTATAGATCCTTATACAATGATACAAAATTAAGGTTACATTTTGGTTACAACATACTATGCATCAACTCTTTTTAAGATGTTGTATCTATGTAATTCTTAAAAATTAGATGTAAAGTTCTAGTTCTTTTGAAAGCTACTATTACTCACTGTTTAGGATAATTTAGAAATGCAAGTTAATAGTCAATCAAACTTGTGGTTTTGTTAGGTGCTAGTTTAGTTAATCACGGGTGTTTTCTAAGTTAATTAGATAGTAAATAGCTAGAGACAAGCAACATCTGCCTATTTAGATATACTGAGATAGATAGATGCTCTTCAAAAACCTCAGAGATCTACAGAATATAACATTTAAAGATGTTTTATTAATTTAAAACTTTTTTGACAATAAGACATGTCAGCTCCTGGCAGTACCCCCATACTACTTCAAAGAAGATGATGAGCATCGAAGAACCTCCTTATGGAGTTTGTGTCAAATGTGGCTAGCTACCCCTGGGCAAGAAACTGCCCTTGCCTCAACTGCTGACAGCATGCTGCCCAAGCTGTGGCCAAGCTCTGTGGACACAAAGAAAGTCAAGTGCTGAACTATGCCAGGACAAAGTAGAGAAGTCCTTCATAATTCCTGCTTCACAGAAAAATCTGTCAGATATTCTAGGCCAGATTTGATGGCTAAGGAGATGGATGTGGAGGAATCTTGGGTGACTGCTCAGGCAGCCAGCAGTCTCTGTTGTTTCTATAGTTTTGGAAACTGCTTACTCTGCACTTCCTGTCTACTCAGGTAATATTTATCCTTCTCAGGTCTCTGATGGGGTTGAAGACTAGGTAGTTACAGTCTCACAGTTAAGCTTAAGTTGTTTAGGATTTAAGAAAATTGTTTTAAGTCTAAAAAGATGGTTTTAGTTTGGCAAATGCAAGTTATGATAGAAAGTGATTTAGATACAGAACTTTGGACTCACCAAGAGAGGACAGATACTACTTTCTCCAAGGTTACTAAATGCATATGGTCTGGATATTATGAATGTAATTCTTATCAGACAGTATATAGTTTATTTGTGTTAGAGAAAGAGTTTTTTTTTTATTTAGACAAAAAGGGGAAATGTTACAAGATAGTTGATCATATTATGAACCCCAAGATTGTGAACTGGAAAAAAAAATCTGTTTCTTGTTGTGGTATGGCTCAGCCTTAGCACATGCCTTTAACCAAGAGCTTTCTGCTTATTCTAAACAAATAGTTGAGTTGTGGCTCAGCCCTAGCACACACCTTTAATGCAAGAGCTTTCTGTAACTGGGATTAAATAAGGTTAACCCTAGGTCAAGAGGCAAAGCAAGCAACCAGTTGACAGGAAACTAACATAGGAAAAAAAAGAAAAAAACCATAGACAGTGAGAGGAAGTCCGGAGGATGGCTATAGAGATGCACAGGAAGTATAAAGGAGGGACATTGAGTTGAAGAATATTTAAGACAGCAAAGAGAAGGAGAAGGAGAAGGAGATTTTTCCTTCTGGGATGTTGGCTGAATACTAAGGTCAGCTGGGTGTTTTCTCTTTGGTTAAAGATTTGCTAGGGCTAAGCCACACCACAACTACTTATTTGTAATAAACAGAAAGCTCTTGGGTTAAAGGTGTGTGCTAGGATTAAGCTATACCACAAGAAACAGGTTCCAGTTCACAATCTTGGGTTTGACGATGTGATCAAATATCCTGCAATATCACACCCGGCTTGGGAAAGATTTATTAATGCATTTCCACAGGCAGACTTAAAGGTGCATGGCTTTAATCCCAGTACTCCTGAGGCAGTGGCAGGTAGATCTCTGTGAATTAGAGGGCAGCCTGGTCTACATATCAAGTTCCAGGACAGCCAAGGATGCATGATAAAGATATCCTGTCATCATCACCACCACCACCACCACCACCATCATCATCATCATCATCACAACAACAACAACTAGTCATCTGTCCATACCCTAGCCCTTTCTTCCTACCACTGCCACGCCCTCTGTCTCTGCAGCCAGATCTACTGCCACGGGGAGCTCCTGCATCAAGTTCAGATGACTAAACTCTACCAGGACGACAAGCAGTTTGTGGATATGTCACTGACCGCATCTCCAGGTAAAGCCACCTTGGCTTCTCCCGAACCTTTTATCAGGCGGGTGGGGGAGCAGTATAGGTTTCCCTGACCACAGTGGGCCTCAGCATACCCACTAACTCCTTGATGTCACCTGCTCTCCAGATGAAGTCCTGCAGAACTTCAGCCAGCTGGCCCTGGCATACAACCACAGCATCCCCAGGGAACAGCTTCTGGAGTTTGTCCAGCGGCACTTCCAGCCTGTTGGGCAGGAGCTGCAACCCTGGACCCCAGAGGACTGGAAGGACAGGTAACCTCTCTGGAGAGAAGACTAGGAGAGGGCCCTCATGAGGGCCTGCCTCCATGAACCCTGTGGGGTCCTCTCTTCTAGCCCTCAGTTCCTGCAGAAGATCTCAGATGCCAAGCTGCGTGTGTGGGCGGAAGAGCTGCACCAGATCTGGAAAAAACTGGGAAAGAAGGTAGCAGTGGCCTGGGCCTGCTTCATGGCCTGACTGACTGCTCCTGGGATGGGACAGAGCAGCGCCTATTGGGAGCCACAGTGCCTGAGAGCACAGGCATTTCCTAAGAACACAGCCCACACCCCTGAGCTCTAAACAGAAGCCTCTAGAATGCACTTCTGACTTCAGAAGGGAACATCTGCTTCTATCCCCTCACGTCCACCTATGCAAACCAAGCCAGTCCTGCCGCCTGTGGGCTGCCTCCCGTAGCACAGAGGGCCATGGTAGAAGGTCATGTCCTCTGCCTCTCTCCCTTTCTGAGCTTCTGGGCTAGCTTCAGTCCTAAGAACAGTCATTTTGGCTGCATATGGCCAGCCTGTGTTCAGCCCAGTGCTGAGGGACTCTCCTTCCTACCTGGTAGTTTGATCTAAGGCTGCCCAAGACCATCCAGTCTACTGGGTACATACCTGATTCCCGTTCTGCTGCTTGCTCAAAATGATTGAGGCAGGCTGAGATCCCCACCAACACACTTGGGACTGACAGCAACAGGCAGAAGAAGGACCCAATGGGCCCCGTGCCAATCGTCACTGTTCCTGGGGAAAGGTCATGGGTTTCATCACTCTGGGAGGGGGACTGGGAGAAGGTTTTCTATTTTCTGAGTTTGGCTTCAACTGGCAATAGGAGTGTCGGAGGGATCGAGGGAGACCTTAATCAACTAGCATTGCCTCATCCACTCAGCCTCATCTGGGTCACAATTATGGACACCAACCTGATGCCATGCTGAGTGGTCATGGCTTCAGCATACCTTCAGGTTGAGCCAGGACCCCAGAGGCTGGCATGTGAAGAGTGAGGACCCTAAGACTCCCAGGAGCTGGCCTTGACCACACAGCAAAACAGAAGGAACAACAGAACCAGCCTCCCCACCTAGGAATGCCAAGCCCTCTGCCCTTGCCCTCTGCAGCCCCCACCATCAAGGCTGGTGCTAGGCTCCCCTGTACCTTCTTTCCTGACTCCAGATGAAACCAGAAGTCCTCACACACCCAGAGAGGTTCTCCCTGATCTACTCAGAACACCCCTTCATTGTGCCTGGAGGACGTTTTGTCGAATTCTACTACTGGTGAGTGCCCACGTCTGAGAGGCTAGGGGCTCCTGGAGGCAGGCAGTGGTGTGGGGAACCCAGGGCAGGCACCCTCCAGTGTGGGAGTGCAGGGCAGAGGGTGAAAGCTGGGTGACGCGTGCCTAATCCCTCCCCAGGGACTCCTCCTGGGTGATGGAAGGACTGCTTCTCTCTGAGATGGCCTCAACGGTGAAGGGCATGCTGCAGAACTTTCTGGCTCTGGTGAAAACGTAAGAAGGGACCTTGGGCAGCGAGCTGCGCTTGCCTTGGCCTAGCTGTTGGGCCAGGGGCTGTCTAAGCAGAGCCCCTCTTGGCAGCTACGGACACATCCCCAATGGCGGACGTGTGTATTACCTGCAACGGAGCCAGCCCCCACTCCTGACTCTCATGATGGATCGATACATGACTCACACCAAGGATGTCACCTTTATTCAGTGGGTACCCTGCCTGTGCTGGCCTGCACGTGTGTCCTGTGCTGGAGACTTCCCAGGGCCAAGGGCAGTGGCTCTGTACCTGGGCTGAGGTATTGCTCGCTCCACCCCAGGGAGAATATTGGGACTCTAGCCTCAGAACTGGACTTCTGGACTGTGAACAGAACTGTCTCTGTGAACTCAGGAGGACAAAACTATACCTTGAATCTCTACAATGTCCCTTATGGGGGACCCAGGTGAGAAAGTGGCCTGCTATCGGTTCCTTGTCTGCCTTAGGTCCTCTTGTCCTGTGTGTATCAGGGTGACAGGGTAGAGGAGTCAAGAAGACTTATCTTTCTGATTGAGCAGAGGGACTTTATCCTTTTCTTTGCTAGGCCAGAGTCCTACAGCAAAGATGCAGAATTGGCAAACACTGTGCCAGAAGGTAAGCAGGGACAGGAGGAGGAAGGAGGGACAGGACCGAGGGTATGAGCCTCTGTGTACATCTGACTCTGATCTGTGGCTGCTTGCTGCAGTCACGTCTGGCCTGGAGTTGCTCTTCTGTCCTCACAGGGGCCCGAGAGGCTCTGTGGGCTGAGCTCAAGGCTGGGACTGAGTCTGGCTGGGACTTCTCTTCACGCTGGCTTGTCGGAGGCCCAAACCCTGATTTGCTTAGCAGCATCAGAACCAGCAAAATGGTACCTGTTGACCTGAATGCTTTCCTGTGCCAAGCAGAGGAACTGATGAGCAGCTTCTACTCCAGACTAGGTAAGCACCCAATGAGAGGAGACTGTCTGGTATGGGCCACTGCATCGGCCTTGGCCGTGGGACTGGGTGTAGGGCTCTCCAGCCAGTTTAAGCCTTCAGCATCAAGGGAAGAGAATCACAGGAGTCCTACTTATCTTCACACTGCTGCCCCTTTTGTTCCATGAGGACCTCTAGGGCATGTGAGCAGGCACTGCGGTGCATACAGCAGATCTCTCTTCATTCCCCAAAGCTCTCCTTAGCCCCTCAGAGTGAGAGTCCTCAGAATGGTGAACCTGGGAGCTGGGCGAGACCATTGGTTCAAGAAGCCATTAATTCTAGTGAGAACTGGGGAATCATGGTCCTTGGTCCCTAGAGTTCTTAGCATGTGTGGGTACCACATATGGAATGTAAAGACACCTAAAGCCAGGGACTCAAGGGCAGCGTCCAGTGTTCTGCCTGGTGGCACTAAAGGCAGTGCCTCCCAGGGAATGACACTGAGGCCACAAAATACCGGAACTTGCGGGCCCAGCGCTTGGCCGCCATGGAGGCCATCCTGTGGGACGAGCAGAAGGGTGCCTGGTTCGACTACGACTTGGAAAAAGGGGAGAAGAACCTGGAGTTTTATCCCTCCAACCTTGCCCCTCTCTGGGCTGGCTGCTTTTCAGACGCTAGTGCCGCTGACAGGCTCTCAAGTACTTGGAGGTGAGGGGAGCGCGGGCGGGCCTGGCATCCTGGAGGCTGGACCCTCCCTACCTGCTGGCCATGCCCACCTCAGTCTGCAAGTCTCACTGAGGCCACTGGGAGCGCCTGTGAGGCAGGACAAGAAGGGTCTGGAGGGTCAGATCTGCCTTCCCTGAGGCCCTTGGCTCCTGCCTCAGCCACCACCCACAGTCACATCAATGTCTGGAACCTTGTAGGACAGTAAGATCTTGACCTACCAGTACGGGATCCCGACCTCTCTTCGCAACACAGGCCAGCAGTGGGACTTCCCCAATGCCTGGGCTCCCCTACAGGACCTGGTCATCAGAGGTAGGAAAGCTCCAACTCCAGGCCCTGGACTAAGAACACGTGGGTCCACAGGTCCAGAAAGGAGATCTGAGGACCTCAGCCTCCTTCCTGCCTTGGGGAGAGTAAGGCTGAAACTTCTGTTCTGCCCCAACTCTGGATACTCAGGCATTACCTGGGGTGGGGTCTAGGTTTGGCCAAGTCAGCTTCCCCCCGGACTCAGGAGGTGGCTTTTCAGCTGGCCCAGAACTGGATCAAAACCAACTTCAAAGTCTACTCCCAAACGTCAGCCATGTATGAGAAGGTGAGCTGGGTGGGGTACGGGTCTCATTCCATGGTTGAAATGCTGGGCCTCTGACAGGCTTTGCCAGGCCTAAGACAGCACAAGCCAGTATGATGCAGCCCCTGCTGGCCATTCTCGGGCACTGCAGGGGCCTGAGCGACAGCCTGGTGCAGTTCTGTTCTGGTTGGCTTAGGAGCAGTACCCATTAACTCACGCATTTGCCCCTAGTATGACATCAGCAACGGTGGACATCCAGGTGGAGGAGGGGAGTATGAAGTTCAGGTGAGCAAGCTAGGGTGAGCTGATCAACAGTTACAGGCAACTCCTGGGATCTCCTGTCCCTCCAGAACATGCAGCCCCCCAGATCTGAGATGCCCAATAGGTGGTCTATGGGCGAGATTCTGAATAGTGATCTAGTCCTGGGCTAAAAACCCTGGGAAGAGAGGATCCCAAAACAGGGGTTGGGAGCTTCAGAGATCTGGCCCCCACTGTCCTGGCCTCTCTCCAGGAAGGATTTGGCTGGACCAATGGACTGGCTCTGATGCTTCTGGACCGCTATGGTGACCAGCTGACTTCAGGGACGAAGTCAGCTTCTCTGGGAACCTACTACCTAGTAGCTGCCCTTCTTCTCAGCCTTCTGCTACAGTGACAAGGACAAGCATGGCCTCACTGCCTGTGTGTGCTCCTCTGGCTCCAGCCCCTGGTTCATTAAACCTCTTCTTCCCCCCTCCTCCGCACCCCACCCCCATCCTGAGCTGTCCTGCTCAGAGTGTACCGAAGCAAGAAGTGATGAGGAGATGGAGACTGGGGGACTGGATTCCCTCCTGTAACCTTCGGTGGTAGGGTGGAAAGTTCCACTCTTGGGAAAACCGAATCCTGATGCCTGAAGTCCCCCACTCGGTTCCACATACACCTGGACATCCACACACACGTACATAGTCAAAATGCTTTTATTGTTCTGCTGAAATGCTTACAAATACTGCAAAACACCCAGCCAGGCCCAGCAACCATGGGCCCAGTGCTGGGGAGGGCCGGGAAGGTGGCTTAGTGTTAAGGCGCAAAGGCTGAGGCCAGCCAGCTGGAGACTTGATCCTCGGCTCTCCTTTCCCATCGCTCTTGGGAGACTGAAGGGAGGGTGCTGCAGCTCAGGGCCTCTGCTTCTGCCCTCCCCACCCCCAACTCAGGCTTCTCTCTGGGCGCCCAGAAAGAAGGGCTATCGGGAACTGGCCCTGTCAGAATGGGAGGACAGCCCTCTCAGCTTCCTCTCCCCTCAGTGCTGCTGTTCTTCTGGTCTTGGATCCCCGGAAATCATCCCTTCTGGCTCTAAGCAAGGCACAGTGGAAGGGAGAGGGCTGGACTGGGGGCTGGAGATACACTGCAGCAGAGAGGTATCCGTCTCCTCTCACCACATGACATGCCCCCAGGCCTGGGTCAGAGAGATGATGGCACATACCCTCATGTGGCCCACAGCTGAAGCAGTGGGCAGAGCCACAGTGTGGCCATGGCAATTAGTGTGTAACCATGGTGATGAAGCAGTCACCACGGAAACGACGAGGATGGGTTTGCAACACGACATGGGGCTGGACCTCAAGGATGACACCTGAGGTCTCTGGTCCTTGAGCAAAGTAGTGAAAACTATGGAGGCGCTCAAACGAGGAGGCAGAACAGGGATGGAGGTGCAGGCCTGAGCTGCTTCCCAACTCTACCCGTGGTTCTGCTCAGTTCCCCCCAGGCCCCTGCAGAAGTGTGGGATGAGAAGGGGATCTTTGGCAGATTCTGGTACCATAGTTTGTCCTTTACAAAGAGAAAAGCTGGGGTGAGCAGGTGTCAGGACAGAGCTGAGAGGCCAGTTCTGCGACACTCTTCAGCCTGCTGGACCCAGGAGGGAACTCTGCACTTTTGGGCTCCCAGGAGGTAACAAGGCCTCCCCCTCTTCCTTTCCACTCTGCTCCATCTTTAGGGACCGGAGCCTAGTTCTCAAGCACCAAACTCCTTACAGAACAATTAGTCTTCTTGCACAAAAGCCCTGGGGTACTCTACGACATCCTGAGCCTCTGTGACCCAGTACCCAGGGTGCCACTGTCTCCAGGGACAAGCAGAGCAGCAAGTGGCAGGGCATGGGGTCCTGGGGCTGACCTGGGGACCCAGGAGGTGCCTGGTAGTTAGTTCATAAACTGAGTGTAGCCCTCGGCTCCGGTGACAATGACATCCATCCAGATGCGCATGGCCTCTGCGGACGGGGCCACCATGTAGTACAGCCGGTCATGGGTCTTCACACAGAAGGTGAGGGCTGGATTCGGACTCTGCAAGGCAGGACAGGAAGTGCTAAGATGGGGAGGGGGGGGTCCATGCCCAGTTACCTGCCTAGCCTGCTTTTCTCCTCAAAAGTCCCCCAGGAAGCCCTGAACTTAAGGCCAAGTCTCAAACAGGCCAGAGCCTGGTCCTCAAGGGTCCAGAGGTTTGCGTTCTAACACAAACTAGTACTAGGCTCTCTAACCCTTGCAACTGCAACAGGGGTATACCTCAGTTCCAAAGTTAACACAAGAGAATCTGTCAGAAGTGTTGTCCCAGCGAGAACCAGATTCTCCTCTACGCCAAAAAGTGGCAGGAAAAGGCTGTAAGTAGGATGTTGGCGCAGACCACAGAGGGACAGAGGTCAGGGTTGGGGGGGGGCTGGCAAGAGAGAGGGCAACTTTGCATAAGGCTGGCTCAGCCTCTAACACATCCTTTTCTCAAGTTGCCCTCTCCAAGCTAGTGCCTGCACATCCCCCTACTACCCCTTTAATTCCCTTGTCCGTACTGTCTGTGCCCTCAGAGCTACACCAGCCGTCCTGGCCTGAGAGGGAGGCAACAAGTGGGCTCCAATCCACAGGAGCTCCTTGCTCTCTCCTCTCTCTGGCCTGGAGCAAGTTAGAGGGATGGAGGAGGGGGTCAGGGGTCAGGGGTCAGAGGGCACAGGAGCTGTTAATACAAGTAGTTCTGGTTATTGGCAATGTGGGGTTGAGGGTACCTCAGTCACCATAGTGAAGTGGAAAAACCTTTTCTGGGAGGGGGAGAGGAAGAAAGGAAGAGAAAACTGGTAAAGAGGGAGAGCGAAGGGCAGGCTGGGCAGAACACCACTGCGACACCCCTTCCTGGTGGCTATCCCTGTAGCCTCGCGCTGGACAGCCCTGCCTCACCTTGGCTGCGCTGCGCAGGTGGTCATAGTACACTTCCTCGATGGCCTGGAAGTAGATGACCCCCTTCAGCTTCGTTTCATGTTTGTCTGCAAAAGAAGGAGGGCCGGGCTGAGTGGGACAGAGCATGGGGTGCCCTGAGCCTGAGGCCACTTCCTCAACTGGGGAGTGGCTTACAGTCTTGGCCTCTAAGACTCCAAAATGGAGTCTAAGAGAGTACCCTAAAGATAATGTAGATGAGAACTCTGTTGAGATGCGATCTACCACAAGACAACAAACATTACAGAACTGGCAAGAAGCGTTAGGAATGAAGGTGGGAGCAGAACTGTTATGGATACGTTGACCACATCGATCAAACAGGGCACTTGGAACCCTAGCAATCTGCTCAAGCAGGATGATCTTGAGCTCCAGGCCAGCCTAAGTGACATATTAAGTAGTATCTCTAAAAGAATTACATTTTAAATATAAACATAAATAATAAATAAATTAGAAAGACCTTGACCTCAGCACTAAGGAGGCAGAGGCAGGTGGAACTCAGAGGCCAGCCTGGTTTACCCAGTAAGTTCTGGGCCAGACGGAGGCTGCATAAATGAGATCTTGGATCAATAAACAGGCAAACAACAACAAAAATTAGTTTACCTGAGGTATAGAACAGATTTACAATAGTCCCACTAAAAAGTTAGACTTGACCACGTCATGGAATATTACATAGCTGATGTTATATAAGATGGCACAGACTCTGTGTGTGTATGGTATATACGCATACGTGTGAGGATGTGCCCGCCCGTGTACACTCCAGAGGCCAGAGGAAGACGCCACTCTCTGCCATACTCCCTTGAGACAGGTCTCTCACTGAACCTGGAGCTGGGGTGCCGCCAGCAAACCTCAGCATTCCCTCTGTCTCCATCCATCACAGCGCCGAGGTGACAGATACGCATGGGGCACTGAGTACGGGGATTCGCACCCAGGTCTCATGCTTGAACAGCAAGTGTTCTTACCCACGAGGCCATCTCCACAGCCCCAAGAAACACCTGATACAGGTGTGGGCATCTGTCAAATGCACCAAGTGTAAGTATAGAGTTGGAGCTCTATCTGAAACCAAAAGATGGCTAAGACACCTTGAGAGGCAAACAGGAGAATATTTTAGCTTCCGCCGGGGATAAGAGTGTTGTTCATCTGAACGTGTGCTCACCTATAATCCCCGAATTTGAGAAACACAGGCAAGAGGATAAAGAGTTCAAGGTCAGTTCCGACTACACAGTGAGCTTTAGGCCAATGTGGGTTACACGAGACAGTATCTCACTAAAAGAAGAAGAAGAAAGAAAAAGGAAAAGCTCCTATTACCCATATTACTTGGTGGAGACAAGCTTTTTCAAATTTTTTAATACATACAGATGTCTACCTCATGTTATTAAAGGAGAGAAGGAACGCTGGAGGGCTACAGCTCCATTGGTAACATGCATGCCTAGCAGACACAGAGCCCTGGGGTACAATCCGACCATCACGAACCCCCAGCATGATGGCGGCTGGAGAGTTAGATAGCTCAGCAGTGAAGAGCACCCACATCAGAAAGCTCACAAAACACCGGGAATGGCAGCTCCAGAGCATCGGTGCCTCCGCAGGCACCTGCACACGCGCATATATGTGTGTGTGTGTGTGTGTGTGTGTGTGTATACATATATGTATGTATGTATGAATGTATGTACGTATGTATACCTTTAAATTACTTTTTAATCTTAAAAGAAAATACAGGCATGGCGCTTCACACCGGAAGCCCCAGAACTTGGGAAGTAGAGGCAGGAAGATTAGAAATCCAGGGGTTATTATCACCAACATAGCAAATTCAAGGCCAGCACGGGCTATAGGATAGTCTGTCTCAAAGAGGAAAACACAGGCAACAGAAGGAAGCAGCCACAGAGCTAGGGAGCATGCAGCTCAGTGGCAGAGCACTTCTCTTGAAGCACAAAGCTGTAGGTCTGATTCCCCAGCGGGGGTTGGGGAGGGAGGAACAGGGAGCTACGGAGGACAGACGTACACTGAGCCCCACTGGGCTCCTCAAGGCTTTCTGCTCATTCATGTGAGTAGCATGTAGGATACACACAGCATACAACATTCAGGGCGGCTGCAGGGAGGAGGGTGAATTGTCAGGGCAGGGATGACCCACTTGGTATGAAAGAAGGGGAGCAGCTGATGACAATCACAGACCACATGGTACAACTGCCACCCTCTGCCACCAGCCTACGGGAGATGGCCATGCCAGTCACTGAACGCAGAAGCGACAGCTATTCGTAAGCTCTTCCCATGGGTCCCTCCCCATACTCCAGGTTACTTCAGGCCCAGATCCCTGCCCCAGCCTCCGGCCCTGCCACTCATCTGCCCCGATGCTGACTGACCAGCTTTGGAAGCTTCAGTGCCTCAGCACACAACTCTCTCTGATGGTTCCTTTGGGGAACCGGCTGCCTCTGGGTCCTGGCACAGACTGATGCCAACACATCTCTCCCACTTGTCTCACAACCTCCTCCACGCTGGGTTCTGTGGAGTCAGCTGAGCTTCTCACTGTGCCCTCAGCAGACCCACTCTTTATACTCTTCCCACCCACAAGGTTGGCAAACTCCTAAGCAACCTTCGAAACCCGCTTCCGACCACTCCAACACACCATCACGATCCTCAGCATGGAACTCGAACACCAACTCTGAGCCTCTGTTATCCACACCTATGTCCTCCTGCGAGGGCAATGGCTACGTGCCAGGCACAGACAGGTGCTCAGCCATTGCAGAATGACCGAATCCTAGGTACTGGCATCCGGCAAGAAATCACAAACTTTCTGCTGGGAAGCTACACCTTGGTGAGAAGGTTCAGGCGCACAGCCTAGTCGCCTGCCAGCGAGGCTCGGAGCTCAGGAGTACCCCGCCACATCTGAGGGTGTTAAGAAGAGTGTCAACGATAGGAGCACATTCAGAGCATCCACCAGGGTCTGGCATGAAACTCGGCACCTGTTGCTACAGCATTACACACTGGGCTGATGTGGCACAGCAGGCAGGGGTGACTACCGGGATGCTGAGGAGGGCGGGAACCACTCCAGGGAAGGTGGAATGCCTGAAGGGTTCACCCAGGTTAATCTCTGAGGGGATTTCCTGTAGAAAGGAGGAGGGTGCCGGTCCAACAGGCAAGCCACACCCAGGTCCTGGTGTAGCCTTACACCCATCTCGACATTTCCTCCTTTGACATAGAAACCTGGCCACCCTCCAGTGGTGTCCCAACCCCCTTCCTCTATCCCTGGAAATAGTAACAGGCTCCTGCCCACACTCTGTCCCGCCCACCTATCCTTGGTCTTGTGCAATCTGGCTTCCGCCTCCTTGCATGGTGGAAAACGTCTCCACAAATCTCAGTCTTGGAGTCAAATGGCCCTTGGCTGCATCACTCTTGGCCTTCTGGCAACATCCATCATTGCTGGTGACACCTTGGGCTTACAAATGTCTGTTCCCTTGGCCAGCTTCCTTCTCTGTTTCCGCTGCCCGCCTAAACGTGGTCTCCTTTTGTTTCACAGACATGAAGCGAGATCACATTTGCCAAGTGCCAGCCCAGCACCTGGCACGAAGTCAGAGCCAGCTTCCTGCTTCCTGCCCTTCTGCCTCTGCTGGTCTCTCTTCCTGCCTCTTCCCCACAAGTGGCTGCCTCTCCCCTCTGCTCTGTCTCGTCGTTGCTGTGAGACCTTGGGCAAAGGCTTTCTGAGCCCCACTTTCCTTATACATAAAGTAGGTGAAAATATAGCGCTTTGGCAAAAGTTAGATGAGCGGCCACATGAAGAGTACTGACCACTCAGGTGTTTGATGGACAGGACCTAAATTGGCTGTGATTATTACTCTAAGACATTTAATGAGGGTCTGCCTCCTGGACCTGGCTGGACACACCTCAGCCTCAGCAGGTCTGAAGTGGAGCTCCGCTTCCAAGCTGAAAAGGTCCTTCTCATGTCCCAGTCTAGCTATACCCAGGCTTCTGTCTCTCCACATCCAGGACCCACGGTGATAGAGGAAGGACCAAGTGGGTAAAAGTTAAGAGGGGCAAGCAAGATACTGGGCCTGGGCATTCATGACCCAGAAGCTGTCCCCTTTCCAGGCTCTTGCCAGGACTACTTCCCCCAGCTTTGTAGGTGGTAGGGCTGAGTGACTGGCAGGCAGGTGTGGCACGTTACCCAGCTGAGGCACTTAAGATCAATTCAAAGCCCCTCACACCTTTCTTGTCTCTTGGCCAATACGACCAGCAATGCTCCAGAAAGGCGCACCGTGAAGAAAAGACAACCGGCCCACAATGCACAGCAAATTCATGTTGTGCACAGGACTGCTGTCACTGTTCAGCCTGGCCTTTGCTGACTAGAAGGCCACAGGGCACCTCAAGCTCCAAGTGGGATAGTCTAAAGGTATTTTGGGGATGGGAGTCTATGCCAGGGACTGGGTAAGGAAGAGGGAGAGCAGGGTGATAGGGTCCCTTTCATCCAGGAGTCCTTGAAACTTAAGTGATCTCCTTGAAGTCTCTGAGGGAGATCAAGGGGAAGTTCACAGCCCAGATTTTGCACCCTGTCAGCAAATTCACTCACTATATTTATTTACTTTACTCTCTGCTGAGCATCTGCCTTCCTGACTTACGCACCAAGGGAGAAAGTGTGGGTGCTTGGTTGTCACCAGAACTTAAAGCAGGGACTGGAGTTTATTAGACGCTCAACAACACTACGAAATGAACGAAGAAATGAATGAATGTGAACCAGGTACTCTACATTTTCAGGGGTGGGATGCCAAAGCCCACCAGAGCCTCTAGCCCTTTGCTGGAAACTTGGCCTCCCTCTAGCAGACGAGCCAACCCAGCTGCTGATGCCCAGGGGTCCCCGCCCTGATGGGCCCAAGGGCGGCTCGTGGGAACTCACCCACATAATAGGAAAGGGTGCGCTTCAGCCGATCAAAGACAAACCAGCGCTTCTTCCACGATTTAATCTTGCCACCCATCTTGATCAAGTAGCCACGGCAGACCTGATGGGGAGCAACAGTGAGGAGGTACCTGAACATGAAGCCGAGCCTTCCTCACCAAGCAGCTCCTTCAGTCTGGGCCATCGCCTGTGTCTGCATTTGCAGAGGCCATTCCCAGGCCGCACAGAGGTGCTGAGACAGTCCTGACTATGTTGGGACAGTGTGAAGCCAAGTTCCACAACCCCCGGAGCTGCTTCTGACTATGAGGGGGCCCCTCCCCTTCTTCCCACCCCCCTCCTCCCCCCACGTAGATCTGGTACCTTGCTGCTAAGCACCACATGGAGGCAGGTGTCTACCCCGTGGCCTGACGACTCTATGTGGGTCTTCAAGTCAAAGTCCTCTTTCCGGTTGGGCAGATAGCGTGTAAGAGGTCGTGCCTGGGGAAAAGGCGCAGGGACAGCAGGGTTATTTCTGTTCTCTCCTCATTCCCTTGTTCTTGCTCCTGTGCTTCAGTCCTAAACCTGTCACAACTTCACACCAACCCCTCTTGACTCCTGTGGTGGTCCCTGGCGTCACAGGACCTGTGACCAGGGTGGAGGCCTAGCATGCCTGTGCTGGCTCATCTAGGCCCAGGCAAGATGCTACTCAGCTCCTTGCCTCAGTTCTGCCGCCTATGACCATGACACAGTCATGGCTGTCTTCTTGCCCACTCCCGCCTTCCCGATAGAATGAACGAAAGCGGCCAGATGTGAACATGTCCTGGGAAAACAAGGCCCGTGGGAGAGTCGTGCTCTAGGGGTGGGATACAGTTTGGCAGATGTGCACCTCCCCACAGTCTCAAGGCCCTGGGTTCCATCCTCAGTATCAAAAGACAAACAGAGCTGGCAGGATGGCTCAGTGGGTAGAGGAGCCCGCTGCCAAGCAGGATAACCTGAATCAATTCCTGGGACTCACATGGTAGGTGACAATCTCACAAACTGTTCTCTGACCTCTGCACGCACACCAACCCCCTCCCATACACTAAATACATAATACAATTAAAGAGATAAGAGAGGCAGAGAAACCTCTTTTAAAAAGATAAATAAATAAATGAATAAAACAGAGATCTGCTCGGACTCTGTTCAGGCTACAGTCTTCTAGCTTTCCTATATGTAATACAATGACTACAAACCAGACAAACACTAAGGCCTACGCCATCGCCATTACTAATGAGAATTAGCCACCAACTGGAGTATTTCTCTACTCTTGCTTTTCCAGAAAAACCTTGAAATGTCACCTATCCTAACAATGTCACAAGTTACTTTAACACAAAATGTACAACTTGCAAAGAGAGGCAAAGATGGTTTGACCCTGTTCCCTCTCATTCCAGGCCTGAGCCTCAAAGATGGACCCTGGAGAAGTCTGAGGCGTGTTGGGAGCTGGGACAGAAAAGAGGAACGAGGCTTCTGATAAAGATTAGATCACTAAAGCAAAAAAAAACCCTCCAGAGCTCCTGATGGTTTTTCATTACTTTATGTGTATCAGTGTGTACCTGCTGTACATAGGTGTACCACACAGGGACATGCCCAACGAGGCCAGGAGGGGCACCAGGGCCCCCTAGAACTAGAGTTACAGCTGGTTGTGAGCCACTGTACGGTGTGCTGGGAACCGAACCTGAGTCCTCTGCAGAAATAGTAAGTGTGCTTAACAATTCAGCCATTTCTCCAGCCCCACTGGCAGGTTCTTGCCTTTCTTTCTAATTATGTTTTTGTTTTTTGAGACAGGGCTTCACTACGTGTGTGCGCCTCTCTCTCCATATATATATTTGTTATATATATAACAAATATAAATATATTTGTAGTGTTTGTCTAGATGTTTTTCTTTAGACCCTATCTGATTCTGGAGATATATATATATATATGTGGCCTGCCACAGCTTCACATCCCAGTAAACACATACGCACACCACACACACACACCACACACACTTCAACAAACCCTAGTGGGTCCGTTTTTTGTGGCCACAGAGTTCCAGGTAGAATTCCATCTGTGCTAAGCCCACAGCAATCTTATCTGGAGAACAGACAGTCCAGCAGAGGGGCCTGGGATCTCCTGCCTCCTTCATACCCCTCATCACCCAGCCCCACCGACCCACCTGGGAAAACTGTTTCTCTCGAAGCTTGACTTCCTTCTCCACCAACTGCTGCCTGCGGGCGCTCTCACTCTGCAGCCTCCGTTCCACTTGCTCCCGCCTCCGCCGTTCCTCCTCCAGGGCCTGCCTCCGGAGCTCCATCTCCCGCTCCTGCCCACAAAGCCAGGGGTCAGTGCCCTCAAGTCCGGCCAGAGCTGCAGAGGCACTAACCCTGGACAATGGTCTGGCTGAGCAAGCAAGTCCTCACAGGCCACCCTCTCCCAGGTTCTCCCAGGTCACGGCTCCATGGGTCGCAACCCAACAAAATCCCTTATGCTTTTGAAGCCTCAGCTACCTCATTAGAAAAATGGGCTTCAACACACCTGCTTCTGGGAGTGGGTAAAAATTCAAAGAGGTCAGATACACCATCACATTCCAGCACAAAAATAGCACACAGTAAAGCAGGGGTCTTGTGTGACTTTCTTTTATTGAGACAGTGTCTCATGGAACTCTGGCTGGCCTAGAACTCTTTATGTAGACCAGGCTGGCCTCTCAGAGATCCTCCCGCCTTGGCCTCCCAAGTGCTGGGATTAGAAGCGTGCAATACCACACCCAGTTATAATTTAGAAAGAAATTATTGTATTTTTATTTGTGTATGTGTGTGTTCCAAGCAGGTCCACAGAGGCTAAAAGAGGGTGTCAGATCCCTGGGACCTGGAGTCATACTTATTTGTGACGTGGGTGCTAGGAAGCAAACTGTGGCCTTGTCAAAGAAAGACAAGCCCTCTTCACTGCTGAACCATCTCTCCCACCCCAGGCTCTCATAACTATGTGAATTCCTAGAACATGCGCTATTTAGCCACTGTTCTTGACAACTGGTACACACAGTTCTTTCCCAATTACTGACTTAATAAGGTTCATTAAAACTACATGTAAGATTTATTGTTGAATTTTAAACTTAATAGGCAAAAATATTAGAGATTAAGGTCACAACTGAACTCCATGTTTTGTTTTTGGTTTTTCAAGACAGGGTTTCTCTGTGTGGCCTTGGATGTCGTGAATTTGCTTTGCAGACCAGGCTGGCTCAAACTCAGAGATCTGCCTGCCTCTGACTCTCCAAATGCTGGGATTACAGGTGTGTGCCACAGCCCCGGAATAACTTTGTGTGCCCTAATCAGTATAGACCTCTGCACTATTTTTTTTTTTTTTTTTTTTTTTTTTTTTTTGTTACAGCTCAAAACTTAGCCTATCTCCTGCTTTCTCTCCAGGAGAGGCTTACCAATTTCTCTTAATTTGTGTAAATAACACAGAGACATCCTTTTTAGCTGGTCCTCCATCCATATGGTCAGTCCTCCACTTGTTTTACTTCCTGTGATCCCTGGGTTCTACTTCCAGTATTTCAATCAAGAGATTGACAGGGTTTTTACTGTTGTTTAGTTGTTGGTTTTGGGTTTTCTGAGACAGAGTTTCTCTGTGTAGCCCTGGCTGTCCTGGAACTCGCTTTGTACATAAGGCTGGCCTCGAACTCGCATCTGATTGCTTCTGCCTTCCAAGCTCTAGCATCAAAGTTGCGCACCACCATACCTGGTTGACACACATGCTGTTTGTTTGTTTGTTTAAAGGCATTGCTTGACCTCAGAAGTTTGAGGCTAGCAAGACCTCTATTTCAGGAAGGAAGGAAGGAAGGGAGAGAGGGAGGGAGGGAGGGAGGGGGAAAGGAAAGAAGGAGGAAATTAAAATGCAACGATAGAACACCTTCTGCACCTCTCTTTAACCTGCCACCTAGGCACCGATTTCCTCTGCCTACCTGTGCCCAGGACAGGGCCTTAGCCACCCCTCAGATTCCCCCAGCTTACACCTCTGCCCTGGTTTAGATAGCTGCCTTTTACTTATTTATTTTTTTTGTCCTCTACCTCAACCCCCACTTTTTGTTTTCCTGACTATTCCTAAGTAGAATGTCCCCCAACTTAGGTTCCCACAAGGTCCATAGAATTTGGCATGAGACTGGAGCTCCCCTAGCAGGAAACCTGTGCTCAGAAAAGGTGACAACTGCCCTGTGTTCTACAGGGTTGGGACGCTGTAGCCTGCCCAAGCCTCCCATGCCACTTTGAGAAATGCAAACTTTCCCTGCTTAGTTAAGGCGGGTGGAAGGGCCTGCGGTACAGCGCAGGCCCTGGAAGGCGGAGGGCAGCTCCGTGCTCACCACCTGCTGCCTCCTGGCTCCAGTCAGCCTCACCCTGGACTCCATGAGCCGGCTCTTCTCTGCGTGAGCTTCCTTCAGCATCTTCTCCATTTCCTCAATCTTGCCCATGTCCAGGCCACTGGCACTGGGAAGGGAAGGGGAAGAGAAGGCGTGTCAAGCGAGCTCAGGGGTATATGGCTGAGGCAGAGGGCTGGAGGGAGGAGGCACCTGGACATGTTGTCGGGGGAGCAGGCTGAGTTGCCTCCTGTAGAGATGCTGGTCTCCATGCTGTCTGAGCTCTCCAGGCTCAGGGTGTCGTAGGCATGTTCGCCCTCCTCCCCACGCTCCCTACCAGCTGGCAGGTGGTGCAGGATGGAATGGTGCATGAGTGCGGGGAAGCCGGAGGGGCCTGCTGGAAAGGGTGCTGCACCATGCAAGGCATCCCACTGGCACTGAGCCTCTGCTGCTGCTTTCTGCTTCAGCTCGGCCAGGCGCCGCCGCTGCTCCTCAATCACCTGGTGCCCTGCAGGAGGGACAGTGGCAGTCAAAGTGAGTTCCTCACTCTCCGGGGGAGGGACCACTGGCGCATCACAGACAGAGAGAGGAGGCAGGCAGGAATGGCTAACACAGAGCAGCCCCTACCCCACCGCTTCCTCGAAGTTCCCACAGCTCCGGACTTCGGCCCCGCCAACTGTGTGGTTGTGCAGGCCAGCGTCCGGAGTCTGACTTTCTGCATCCTGAGCATATGCAGGGCACCAGAACTGCCCTAGCTGTACCCAGGCAGCATGCCAGTCAGCTGTTCCAGCTCTCAACGGAGGCCTGTATAGACAGGGCACATGCACCCGCCATCTCTGTTGGGGAGGGAGGCAGGGAGCCGGTGGGAACCCTTGGAGGGCACAGGTCCCTGGCAATGCAGAAGCGAGCGCAGCCAGAGCAGGGGAGAGGGCAAAGAGACCTGGAAGCAGAGCTGAGGGCAACAGGGAGGTTAAGCTGGAAGGGAAGCCAGTCAGGCACCCCAGCCCAGCAAGGCCCGGGGGTATGCCGGCAGGCAGCAAAGCCTGGGCAGAACACACCATGCTCACGTCAGGGCAGGGGCTGCCTGGCCAAAGCAATATCCTGAACCAGTGCTCTACCTGCTGGGTCGTCAGGTGGGAGGGGCTCGGCAGGAGGTAAGTCGGCTGGTGTGGGGGGGCCCAGGGTAGAGGGTGCAGGAGAGAGACACAGAGGGGATAAGAGGAGAGAGAGGTACAGACATGGGCTTTCAAAACAACTGAAACACACACAGGCACAGGACTCCTGTCCAAAGAGCCAGTGTCTCAGGAAACCATTTCTAAAGGTCATTATCACATCCTCCCCCCTGCTTCCAACAGTCTACCCTACTTGGTCAACAAAACCTTCTTATTGGATGGGCTCTCTACGATGTCACAGGCCCTCAGACCCTTTATCCTGTCCTGGGGTCTTCTGAAAACTCCCAGGGAAGTCTATGAGATCTAAATCCTTTCTGCCCTTGTCCAGATCCCAATGACAGGAAACCTCTCCTGTGAGAGGGCCGAGCATGCGTGAGCTGACAGAGGATTGGAGGCAGGGGCAGGCTGGCACTACAGCCACTTACCCTTCTGCTGTAGGGCCAGCTGGCGCTTGGTCTCAATGTCCTGCAGTGTGGCTGCCAGGTTGCGAGGCAGGCTACTGGTGCCATTCTGAGCGAGCAGAGCACTCTGGGAGGGGGGGGTTGGTGGATGTAGGCATGCTAGTATTGAGGCTCAGCAGACCCCACCCACACTCCCAGCCACTCCCCAGCATGGTTATCTCCATCCCCGCCACCACACATGTCCTCAGACCTTTGGGGATGGGCTACGGCCCAGGGTAGCCACGCTGAGCTGTGAAGAAGAGGATGAGGAGCCTGAGGAGGAGGGGAGAGGGCCGCTACGGGTCCGGGGCAGAGGGCTGGCCGCCTCACCATCCATCTTGGAGCGGTAAACCTGGAGGTGAAAGACACTGCCCGGTGATTCCCCCAGCTCCCCGCTGGCTGCCACTTTGTACCACCTAACCCAGCTGTGATCCAAGGTATTACCCTGGCACAGGGCCTCTGAGACCTTCTGTCTCCAGCAGACAACAGTTGAGCGTCCTGAGCCAGAGCAGTGGGCAGATGCTACTGGCAACTGCCAAGCCTCCTTTCCTGGGCCTTTCCTCCCAGAGCTAATCTCCAGCCCAACCCTGGATCTGATCTATTCAAGAAGTCAGTGTCAGCTGGGCAGAGCTGGGCAGGAGACTAAGCGGAGGCCAGGCTCCTAGTCCCAACTCTGCCATTAACAGGCTGCGTGGCCTTGAGCCACACAGCTCCCCAGCCTGCACCTGGGCTTTCCCATCTGTAAAGGAAAGGGCAGAGCGAGATTAAGTAAACGCCAAACTCCCTCGCATTGCTGACATGCGGTGAATCTGCTCTTTGGAGTCAGGAGCTCTGAGTCTCCACACTGCTTCCTGGCTGTGTGGCTTAGGTAAGACCACTTTATCTTCCTCTATGCCTCAGCCTTTCATCTGTACACGGAAAGCTAACACCATCTACCTCAAAGGCCTGTGGTGGGTATTCAGTGCCTCAAAACTTGTCAAAGTCTCCAGCCAGAGGTAGCTCATGTGTTAGCTGAATCAAAATCCTCCCAGAGGGACCACAAGATGTTAGCTGAGGCCACAGCTTCAGAGGGTACAGCTCCTTCATTGAAGAACTAATTTTGAAGGTGGAATTATAGGGTCTACGGCACGTAGAGGAAAATTTGGTGGCAGACTACACAAGACCCCTTGCCTCCCACAGCTGGTAGATTGCTGGACCCTAACAAATGACGGTCACACAGATAACTCTCCAGGGCTGTCACTTCAGAGAACCTGTACTCTTTTCTGCCTTCCCATCACCCCTGGGGAAGACCAGGAGAAGAAAACACCAGCAGCTTCCCTAGGTCACACTAGTCCTGCCTGCAACAGGCCCAAGGGCATGTCAAGCCCCCAGTCTAAGTAAGCAACTCTGGGAAGAAAAAACAAAAAACAAACAAACAAAAAAACCACTTTATTATTTTGGTCAGTCAATCCTGACCGCCTTGGACTCGGGTGCTGAGCCACCAGAAGCACAAAGTGCTAGGATGGCAAGCTGGTTGCCCAAGAAAAGGCCCTTGCTGCCCTCTCTGGACCCAGAGGATCCTGCTTGCTTTGCTAACCCCATGACCCTAGATATACATTGTGCCTGACAGACTGGCGGCAGATGCTCAGAGCATACAGGAACAGGACCTGGGGAAGACAGGCAATGCCAGTTACCTGCAGCTGACGGGAAGCTTTGGCAGGCAGAGGTGGGGGAGAGGAGCGAGGGGAGGCTGCAGCAAGGCCAGTCCCCAACCCGGCCATCAGCTCCTGGTACCACTGCTCTAAGTCTACAGCAGGGGGCAGCAGCTTCTCCATCTGGAGGGGCAGGGGGAGGCGGGGAGGAAAGGAAGGGCCAAGACAGGAGGGGAGAGATAGGAAGAAGAGAAAGAAGACAGGGAAGGGAAGGGAAAGGGAGGCCACGTCAGGGAAATGGGAAGGAAGGTATAAGGGAGGGAGGGAGGGGGGAAGGAGGGAAGAAGGAAGGAGGGAGAGCATAAGAAGAAGGAAGAGAAAAACAGTGAGACAACAGTTGCACTGATTGTGCTAAGAGCAAAGAGAAACAGTCGAGCACAAGTTCCAGAGTATAGCCTTATGCTATGTCAGCAGCCAGGCAGCCAGCACCTGCAGTTATCAGGCATAGCCCTAGGCCCTCCGCTGGCTTACACAGAGGCCAGTAGGCAGGGGCCATACACAGTCACACCAGCCGTGGAATGGGGTTGGCAAGGACACACAGACCACCAACCTGAGATGAATGAGTGATGGAAGCGAAGGAAGAAGAGGGCAGCGTGGGAGGAAGACAGGTGATGGGAACCAGGTCCTGGGAGGCAGAAGCCCAGGAAGGCAGGCCTGGTGAAGGGGTTGGGGGCATGGGTGAGGTACCCCATATCACTTTTAGCTGCTCAAGCGTCACGTACTTGAGAGAAGGACAGCCACAGGAGGGAATACAAAAGGTTAATTGGAGTAGAACCCCAGAGATGGTCCTGACCACTAGGGAGGGGAAGGGTAGGAGCACAGAGGAAACCCTAGGGAAGAGAGCCAGCCTCCCCTCACCAAGATGCTCTCCCTGGAGATCAGGAGGCAGGGTTTGTCCCTCCCAGGAACCATTAGGTGCTGAGGAACGCTCCCAAGGTCCCATGGAAGAAAGTGAACCACGTTTCGTCCTCAACAATGCCAAGTAAAGACCCTGTTTGTCCCGGGACCCCACCCAGGCTGAGAGACAATTGAAGCCCTTGGGCATAGGTGGGCACACGCTGTGGCTGATACCTCGCTGTCAGGCAGGGACTGGGGGGGCCTGCTGCGGCAGGTAGCAGAAGCATAGGGGTCGAAGCAAGAGTACAGCTGGAGAACCTGAGTCAGGCTCACATACTCCTAGGGTGCCCAGGGGGATGGGACAGAGAAGAAATTAACAGTTTCAACCAAGTATTTGACACCCCACACTCCATGCCAGGCTAGTGTCGATGCAGAGTCTAGAGTGGAGTCGGGTACCCAGTAGCCAACTATGGCCACAGTGGCTGTGGGGAAAGTGAGCTTGAAAGAGGCAGGCAGAACTGAAAATGTAAAGCACCATTCAACCTCTACTTTGGAGACTAAAATAGCACTTAGTGGCTGCCCTGGGGAGGACCAATGTGACCATCTGTGGACTGGCTCCAAGCTGAGGAAGCCCAGAGAAGGCCTTCCAAAAGCCCAGGAAAAGTGGGACCCAGATCCTAGACCCCATCTGCCTCTATCACACTGGGCATCCCCGGCTGGATACAAGCATGCAGCATTAAGCACTCGTCACAGCACTGCCCAGGAAGTGGAATGGTCCCCAGGGGATAATCATCAGAGCAGGGGAGTGGAGATGTCACTTGGGCCTGAGCAAGAAAAGCTCTGAGAAAGAGGCCTGGCCTTAGCAGAGAGCCACTTCTGTCCCAGCATTAAAATGGGCCCATGGTTCAGGGTAAGTACTTGGAAAGATGTCAGCCCACTTCACTGGAGGTTGGAGCACAGAGACTATGAGTCTCCATCGCCCGTCCTTCAGCCCTGAGTTATCTGGGTGCTGGTCATCCACACTGAGCTCCGGGCAAAGATCTCTAGGCTGTCTACCCAGGGTGTTCAATCTAGCCCCAGAGCCAGACTATCCTCTGGGCTCAAAGACAAGATGGACCAGAGAGTTCAGCGTGTTGTGAACAATGGAGAATGACATGCAGATCACATGCAAATTAAAATGCAAATCAATGCGATTATTTTGCGCCAGCTGCCTACACACTCTGAATGACATGATGGTGCACTCTCAAACAACTGCAGGCCAACTGATATGCCACATGCCCTTTGAGCCCTCCCTGGGAAGAGCTGGAGGCAGAGCAGACGCACGGACAGGCATCAGCAAAGCAGAGCGAATGTTCAGCTGAGGTTACCTCTTGTGCTTTGGGACAGAGCTGAGTGGAAACAGAAGGGGTTAAAGGAACAGAGGAGGCCCCAGCCTGAGAAGACCTTGGGGACAGGCACAGAGCCTTGGTCTCCTGCCCCATCTCTGAGGACTCGGAGATGAGAAGCTGAGCCTACAAGAGGACACATGTTGAGAGGAGCTTCACCCCTAATGCTCAGCTCAACCATCCTGCCCCAGACTGAACTGCCTGGGCAATGAAACAGAGGAGAGGAAAGAAAGGTCAGGAAACCAGGCACATCACGACTGGACTTCCCACACCAGATGTAAAGATCTGGGAAAGAACCATTCAATTCAAGGCCCACCTACTTCTAGGCTGAAAGCCTCGCTCTAGACTGACGCCCAGGAGTTCCAGGGTAAGGAGCCCTAGAGCCCTCTATCCTGTTCAAGGCAGGTCCACCCAGTCCTGCATCTTATTAAATTCTGAGCTCTCCACCACCCCACCTAGGGCCCCTGGGCCTCTCATATATACTCAGCCAAAAGGCTGGTGGCTGTGGAGGGCTAAAGGTCAACCTCCAAGGCCATCCTCTTCAAATCTCTCCAGTTCAGAAGGCCCCTTACTCAACCACCCATGATGAAGGTGCCACACCATGCTCTAAGAGGAGACGCTTAGGATACCCCCCCCAGCCACGGTACCTCTTTGAGGGTCGAGGTGGTCTTCGGAAAAGGCCTGCCTCCGGTGAGCGAATGATACCTCCTCTCCAGCACAGTCAACCTCTCCTTCTCCTGGAGCCCCAAATGGCAGGATCAGAGATATGGCGGGGTCGGAGACAAGGGAGCAAGAGTGAGGCGGGAACCCTGCACTCATCCTCCTCGCTCACTCCCAGCCCCTCAGGAACCAAGGCCGGCTACCTTTTGGAGTAGCTGCAGGGCAGCATTCTTCTCCCGGGCCAGACGCTCTGACTCCTGCACTGCCTGAGCCCGGATCTGCCCAGCCTGACTGTCCAGTACAGCTAGACGCTCCTGAGGAAACGGGATGAAATCAGGCCCTGGAGGGACATCACTCAGCCTACAGCCTGACTGCTTCTCCGGTCCAGAGACCCAGGATGCTGTGAAGGCAACTGCCACACTCTCCTGCTTGGCCTCAACTCACCCCAGGAGAATTCTGGCTAACCAGGTCAGTTCCTTCTCGTGTTCTTCCCTTGTGTCATCAGGCACGATGAAACCAATTTCCTTAGCCTCTGTTCCCTCACCCCATAGCCAATGGCTAACCCCAACAGGGCTCGGCACAGCACCTGGCTCAATAATCATATGCTAAAGGAAAATGAAAATATTTTGAGAGGAGAAGATGAGAGCTAGGCAAAATATGTTGGCTTGATCTCAAGATAGTCTTCAACCATCACTCTTAGGAGCAGCACAGGAGAGAGGGAAACACGAAGAAGGGAACTCTCCTAAACCTGGGAGTCAGCCCACGCAGAAACGGAAGCGGCACCCAGGAATCCTCACAGCAGCAGCCGCCACTTACTCGGAACGTAGGAGGACTTGCAGGTGCCGCTGAATGGTTTTAATCTGTTACTTCATCTAATCTTATGCAGCAGGTGCCTTTTTGCCTGTTTTAGAGATGAGAACGCTGGCATGTTTAGGAGCTAAGAGTTCCTGGGTAGTAGTCAGTGGTACACTTCTAGTCCTGCTAGAAAGAGACCTGTAGGATCCCAAGGCCATCGTCCTCAACCACTCTGAACCATAGTAGAGAGATATAGTGCTCCAGGGAAGACAGAGCCTGAGGGGACTCAGCAGGGCAGGGGCTGGACAAAGCTCACAGCGGGTATAGGGAAGACTGTCAACACACACACACACCAGGTGTTAGGGGCTGGTCTGGTCTCCCAGGGCCCCAGGGCTGGGCACAAAGAGAAGAGACACAGTCCCTAGACTTGATCCCTCCAGGACCTCCAAGGCATGGCTCAGCCGACCTTGGGCTCCCAGCTGTACCCTCCAGGCGAAGAGGAAGAACAGTGAAGAGGTGCCAACCCACCTCGCATGTGGCACAGCAGAAAAATGAAGCCTGGTGTGCTTGGGTTCCCACCCCGACTCTGAAGCTTATAATGCTGGAAGGCTGTGTGCAAAACAGCTGGATTTCTGAGCCCCAGTTACTCATCTATAAAATGAGGCAATACTCTAAGACCAGCACGAGACACCCCAAGGGAAGGTCCTAGCAGGGATTCTGCCGCATGAGCCTGGGAAACGTTAGTTTTCTTCCACTCCTAAACATACTTATTTCTTTTCTTTTACCTGTATTTGTGTGCCTGAGTGTATGTCTGTGTACCATGTGTGTACAGGAGCCAGTGAGGGTCAGAAAAGATGTCGGATCCCCTGGACCAGGGTTAGAGATGATTGTAAACCACCATGTGGGTGACAGGAATCTAATGTGGGTCCTCTGGAAAAGCAGCCAGTGCTCTTAGCTTCTGAGCCATCTCTCCCATCCCCAAAGGTGCATTTTTACAGCAAAACAGCTCAGGGAGGGAAACAAGGGATCTGGATTTATGACAACCAGTGGCTCCCTCTTGCCACCAAACCCCAGGCTGGCCAGCAAGCCCCCATCTCACATCTGGACCCCACTCCCTAGATCTCACGGTCCTCACCTTCCACACTCTAGCCAGGAAACTGCCCATGAACGTCACATGGGCCTTTGACATGGGTATCAGCCACAGACTCTGGCATCCCCTAGGACGCCTCCCTAATCCTTTCCTGTAACACACGTCCCTCTCTGTGTTACAGTCTATGCCGGGTGTGGCTGAGACCACAGCTAGAGTAAATCAGAACTGACCAGGGACAAGGCTCCATCTTCTAACTTTGCATACAGTCATGGCTGAGCTGGAGCAAAGCAGGACCTCAAGCAGATTCCTACATCAGGTAGCTAGGCTAGCATCCAGATCTTAGGTCTCTGTGTGCGTTCCAGCACTTCCCACAGCTCTAGAAGGTGGAGGACAGGGCTGGAGATATAGCTGAACGACAGGTATATGCTTAGCATACAGAAGGCCCTGGGCTTAATCTCCAACAACATTCAAGGGCACCTCAGCTAGTTGCCTCCTCCATCTCTACTCTCTTTTCCTGGACAAACCACTGGCAGCTCCCCATGTGAGCCAATTCCACTTTTCCTTGATAGACGGTGGACAGGCAGGGTTTAGTAATACTAGCTATCTTTGCTGAGTCCTGTTCACCATCATATTCTATTCTGCCTTCCCGTACTAGTTTCACGACAGCCCTACAGTTCTCATTTTCACTGATAGTCACTAGGAAAAGGAGACACAAAAAAGATGCCGTTAATTTTTATACGTCACAGGCTGAGAGTCAATTTCAGGTCACCAGCCTCTACGCTGCATCAGGGCTGTAGGGGAGTGAGCCGCGCACCTTCCTCTGGGCTACGCTGCGCAGCAGCTCAGCCTTGCTCCGCAGCAGCCCCTGGCCGGCCAGCTCCCGCTCCTCCTCCACGCGACTCTCCCGCTCCAGCTGCTGGAACTCCAGGTCCTCAAAGAGCTTCGTCTCAGTCTCTAGAGCGTCTGCCTCCTTCAACGACAGTGACATCGGGGTTGGGTGGCAGACACTCTCAAAACCACTCTGGGCCAGGAAGGCCAGGCCACAGAGCCATACATTTTGGGGGGCTGGACCCGGGGAAACTGGGGATGGAAGCAGCCCCACTGCCCAACTCCCTCTGCTCATTTGGCTGAGCCCTTTTTCGCGGACACCGCGGTCTGGAGCGCTGATCCCCACCCAACTTTGCCGGTCCCTGCACCGACCCTGGTGTGCGGCAGGTACTGCAGGGGCCAGGCGGTCCTGTCCCACCGCTCTCCTGTCTTCGGTCTGGGCGGTGGCCCACGGGGGCCGGGGGAGGGGGCTGGTGGAACTGACCCTTCTCAGCTGCTCCTGTAACTGTTCCCGCACTGACTCGGGGCAGTTATCGAGCTGCGTCTGGAGCTCGGCGTAGAGCGCCTGGCGGGCCTCCAGGTGCCTCCGTCCTGCGGCCAGCTCCGCCCTCTCCTGGTCGGCGGGAGGGGAGGGAGGCGGGGCACAGGGGAGAGAGAACACACACTCCTCAACTCCGGCCCGGCGCGGCGGTGCGGGGGGCGGGGGCGGGCACTGGGGTACACCGGGAGGTGGGGGCAAGCACCGAGACGGAGGAGAGCAGGAGAGGAAGGAGGGCACGTGGGAGGCGAGAAGCAAGGAGCAGAGGTGTAAGACGGGACTGAGGCAGGGGAGGGTGTAACAAAGGCAGAGGTGTGGGGGCAGGGTGGAAATGTTGGTCCCTTTAGAAATGTTTAGGTGGGTCCTAAGACAGGACCTTCCGTTTCCGCCCCGAACCAAAGTCAAAGCTGATGCAACGCGGCAAGAAAAGAGCCTCGAGCTTGATCACTGTCCCGAGACCAAAATTTAACCCTGGGGGAAATGGGAGTGATGGGAAAGGTTAAATCCAAGAGTGAAGAGTCAATGGGGAGCTGAAGACGTTAAGAGTTACAGCGGTGCAGCCGGGGGACCCCAGCCCAACCCCCATGGCCTCCCTCCCCTCCTGCCCAGGGTGGGGGTGGGGTGCCAGCAAAGCAGGCTGAACTTCAGTAGGGATGAGGGTTGCAATTAGTTCGGCCCGTTGCCATGGTAATAGGAGCCCCAGGAGTGGATACAGGGAGGAGGTGGATGGCTCTGTCTGGGGCGAGATGACACCTCTGAGGGCGGAAAGGGGGACGAGGGGAGGAGTTGGTGAGTCACCCCTCCGAAGGACAGGCAGAGGAGAAACTATGATTACTGATTCCAAAGCCAGAGTGGGGCCATGGGCTGGGAGCCGGGAGGGAAAGTCAAGAGAACCTTCCCAACACTACCATCATCATCATCACCATCACCACCACCACTACCACTTTCACCATCACACCTCAACCACCTGGACCGGAAGGAAGGCAAAATCCAGACCTCTGGGCAATCTCTGTTAAATGAGGCTAGCCAGGTTGCTTGTGGACCGCCTTATGCCAAAGGAATATAACCCTACGCTGCACCTGCCCATCCTTGGTCAGGCCAGTCCTGACGTCTGCCTTTAAATTATCCTGTGTTCTAGGGGGTCTCCAAGAGTAGAGGGAGGGAAAGGACCATCTGAATTCAGAGACACAAGGATGGGTAGCCACTCAGTGGGTGGAAAGGCCCTGTCCAAGCCCTCCAAGGCTGTGTCCACATCTGGATCTCCTTATCACTCAGCTCCTGCTGGCTCCGCAGAAGGGACAAATAGCTCACTCCACCTCAAATCCCTGCCCTTTAGGAAGCTGCCAAAATTCTCCAGGCAGCAGCCCAGACCAGTCCAGTAGGAGGTGCTGTTTGGGCAGGGCAACTCTGGCCATGCGTACTTCTGTCCACCGCCCCCCACCCCAGACATGCTCAAGAACCCTTATATCCCTCCTTCCAGTGTTCCACTAAGCAAAGTTTAGCTGTGCCTTCCTGCCAGTTGCTTTCTGATAATGGGGTCCCACACCAAGAAAAGGAGGCAACGTTAGAGGGGAGAGCCCAGGGGCACGAAGGCACCCATGGAGTTAGTAAAGCTGGCATGACTCAGCCCTGCCTGGGTGGCCTGGCAGTTAGGGCATGCGGAGAGCCCAGGACATTGATTAGAGGGGGCGTTAGTGCAGGCCTGGTCGGCAAGCATAGGGTTAATCCGGCACAGAATCTGGGAGTGTGGTTTTGGGGGCCAGAGCCAAAGCTCCATTTAAAAAAAGAAAAAGGGGGGGAGCAATGAAATTTTAAGATCCTCAAAATTAAGACCAAAATGAAGATAGCTCTCAAAAATAATCCAGAAGGAAAATTAAACGTCTTAGAAAAATAGTGTCAAATCCAGAAATAGATGAACCCTCTCCACTTCAGAACTTTTGGCACGCCGTTGGGTATCTTGGACATGGCTGGCATAACCCCTGTGGGACAGAGCAGCCCCTGAATACTGGCACGCAATCTGAAAGGGGTAAGGGCAGAGCTGGGACCATCTGGGATGGGAGGCTGCAGATCCTGATGATAGGAAACAGAGGCCTGTGGGCCATCTCCCAAAGACCACATCCTAAGCACTGAGGCATGCTTGAGGGAGGTTTCTCCTCAGGGTGGGTTCCAAACCTGAACCATATCCCCACCCCAACAGCACCAGTCCTTCAGGCTGTGCTCACTGCCCACGAAAGGGCTTTGGCACTTCCTAGAAGAACCTTGCAGGCTCCAGAATGGCAGGCACCCAGGCAACCAGAGGTAGCACAGAGATCTAGATAAATGAGACCCCAGACACCAGCCCAGCCCCTGGCAGTACCGTCCAAGCTTGTACCTTCCACAGAGAACAAGGACCTCTGTCCCTGGAGGGCTACAGAGACCACTTGGTGTGCAGGATGGGTGCTGAGGGTGCCACTGGTAGTCAGGTTTGGGTTACCTTGTCCCTCTCCTTCTGGATGCCTGCGTCCAAGGCCACCAGCTTCTCCTGCAGCTGGTCCACCGCCCTTTGTTCTTTCTGCAGCAGGGCTCGCTCGGCCTCCCTCTCCCCCTGCAGCAGGGCCCTCTCCATTTCAGCCTAGACACAGACACCAAGCTCCTCAGGGCAGGGAACTCAGGGTGGCACCCACCCCAGGGCCTGCATTTCTCCCAGCCGCCTCACCTCTCGGGCTGCCTCCTGCAGCTGCTGCTCCAGCTCCTTCACACGGACCTTCAGCTGTTCTACACGCCCCAGAACCTGAGCCCGCTCCTCTTCCACAGCCAGCACCTCTCCCTGGAGCTTCGTGCCAGGAGCATCTTCGTGCTGAAGGGGAAGAGTGCCCGTGGAAGAAGACTAGATAGAACCTTCCAGATCAGATCACACATTTCCTCGGAGCACTTGTAAGGGTTAACTAGACTAAAACAAGAGGCTACTTTCTTCCAATCCAGGCAGCTCTGCTATAGGGAAAAGATTTACCAGAGTGCCAAGGTTGGGTGGGGACCTAAGGAAAAACAGGTTGTAAAGCACATTTATAGCTTGGGAAAGTCATAGTCACCTCCTTTCCCTCCTCACACCCCAGTTCTTCACTTCCGGCCTCATTTAAACCTTGATCCTTTCACTACCCCTTCACCACATCAGCCCTGGCTCCGCCCCCTGGTCCCCTCACCTCCTGCTGGGTGCTCTCCGTGCTGCTGCACTCCTCTTTGAGATTTTCCTCATCAGAGCGCTCCATGCTCTCCCACAGGCGCTGTGAGGCACCTCCACACTCCTCACCGCTCCTTCCAGGGACCACTATGGCTCCTGCCAAGCCTCTGGAGGGCCTCCTGCCTGCCAATGCCAGTGCTGCAGTGGCCTCTCCAATACTGGGCAGTTCCCCAGCCTCAGGTCCAGAGTCAGCTCGGCTGTACTCGGCACACAGGTTCAGGATGGTCTCCAGGCGCTGGCGTTCCTGGGGACAATGAACAGGGCAAGAATGAGAAGCAGAAATCTGAGAGCCAGTGTGGCTTGAGCCAGGGTGTGTTGAACCCTGGGGACTCTGGGCTCAGCATCACAAGGATAGCCTCAACCTTAAGATCTATGGGAAGCTAGGTGTGGTGGCTGAAGTTTTAATCCCAGCACTCTGGAGGCAGAGAGTGGCAGACCTCAAAATCTGAGGCCAGCCTGCTCTACACAGTGAGATTCAGGGCAGTCAGCAAAAGACTACACAGTGAGACCCTGTCTTTAAAAAACAAAACAAAACTGTGGGAGGCAGAGGGAAAGAGGGTTCCTCTCAAATGGGCAAGAGGATGTGGCCATATGCCACCTGTCCATGTGGCCAGCCCCTCCCATCTTCCTGTTTATTTTCCCTTTCTATTCTATCCTAGGATGAGACTTCTTCATAGTCACACAGAGACACATCCAAACACACAAGGGAACACGCAGGGGTAAGCAGCCTAAAGACCATAATGAGGCCAGGCGTGGTGGCGCATTCCTTTAACCCCAGCACTCAGGAGGTAGAGGCAGGGGGATCTCTGTGAGTTCAAGGCCAGCAAGGTCTACAGTGCAAGTTGCCAGCCAGCCAGGACTACACAGAGAAGGCCTGTCTTCAAAAACCAAAAGACCATGAGACACAGGGCTGTCTAGGTGCTCATGTTGACACCGGTACATCCGTAGGCACAGTGTCAAAGGGCACACAGATACACTGGTTCTGTCACACGGGCACACAGAGAGTGCCCCGGGAGGTACATGAGCATTAACGGGTAGGTACGCACAAAGACGCCAGCCCTGACACGCACACACGCAGCGATAAACACAGTCTGCAGACGGCTGGGTGGGCACCTGCAGACAGACGGGGTTGGAAAGGAGGCCATGGGCCACAGGATCTCACCGTCCAGATAGAGAAGAAAGGCAGAAAGGACACTTTTTCCAGTCCCACCTCAGCTCCAAGTCACCTAAGGCAACATAAACTAGCCAGGTGCAAGCAAGTTCTCCATGGCCTGCCAATCTAGTCTCTCACTGTAAATCCTGACACAGGCATGGCCACTTCTCAGGTGCCTAGGCCGTAAGGGAACTATGGCCATCATGTTCCTGGTCTCTGTCCTACTTACCCATTTCTAACACCCAAGCCCTGACTTTCAAACCCAGAGCTTATAGTGCCTTCTGGGGTCTCTGACGTTGAGTCTCTCTCACTACCTACATTTTGGTCTCAACTTCCCATCCCACAACACTTACCCAGTGTCCTTCCTGCTGCTTGCCCAGTTCTGTGGCGAAAAATCCAGGAACCAAGCCTCAGCACCCAGGAGGTTGGGCCAATGCCTCACCCCCGCCCTAGGACCCAGATAAGCAGCCTGGCTAAGGTGGGAGGGGCAGGGTGCGGGCGGCCTCTGACTTAAAGTGGCAGGTGGGGCAGGTCAGGGCTAGTGGTGAGGTGTGTACCTGTTTGGGGGGTTAGGGGTGGGGAGGTTGGGCCCAGCACTGACTATGCCAGGCTCATCTTCCCTCCCAGGATGAGGATCTAGGGTCACCAAAGCTCAACAGTGATGAGAAGATGCAATAAAGAAAAGACCAGGGGTTCTGGCAAGTATACTGCCCCACACCCTCACCCCAAACTGACCGCTCTCTTCCCAGATTCTTCAGACAAATGTCCTCCTCAAACCAATTCCAGGGTACCCGAATTCCCCAAAACCCTGGGCTTCTGCTCTCAAGGCGAGGAAGGGAGAATCCATGTTTTTGTATTTTGGCTTGGAGCGTATACACAGCAGCAAATGTCCCTGGAGCTCCCGATGCTATTTGGGGGAACCCCAGCCCCCTCCCAGCTCAGATGCCATCTCTAGGACAGCTGCCCAGAACCACGCCCAGACTCAGCAGCACCCACATTTATGCATGCAGACACATACAATCACGGAGGCAGGCCAGGGGGGCTGCCCACCCTGTTTTTGTCTCTTCTTCAGTACCATACTCTTAGAAAGGACCCACCTGGGCCAGAGTCAGTGGGTCACGCCCATCTGTAGATGCCAAAGAGAAGCAAGAAAGGGGGACCAGGATTTTCCTAAAGAACAAGACACTTGCTGTGTAAACCTGATGACCTAAGCGTGGTCCCTGGAACCCATGCAAAGGTGAAAGGACAGATGACCCCACAAAAATTGTCCTCTGGCCTCCACACTCTTTGTGGCATGAGCCTTCATCAGCGCACACACACACACACACACACACACACACACACACACACACACACACTAAATACTTTAAAAGAAGACGCCTCCTCCTCCCCCACAGTCCAGGCACGGTGATACATGTGCGTAATGTCAGTACTCAGGAGGCAGTAGAAAGATCATGAATTCAAGCTCAATCTGGACCACACAGCAAGCTTGCAGCCCCACTGGATTACAGTGAGACCCTGTTTCATAGAACCAAAAAAAAAAAAAAAAAGAGGAGGCGAGAAAAATAATTCTAGGGCTGGGGTACACCTCAACAGAAGAGCGCTGCCTCGACAGGCCAAAGTCCTAGGTTCAGTGTCTACACCACAAACAGAAAAGGCCGAAGTAATGTTCCTCTTTGGGCCTCAGCCTCAAAACTTGCTTTTCAAACTTCGGGATTCGAGGCTTCATCGTAAAATACTGTGCTCTGGTAAGCAATGTGAACCTAACTCACACACCAAAACAAATGATCTGCCACAGAATAAAAGGACAATCAGCAAGAATTTGAAACAAAGCCTCAGGGCTTGGAAGACGGCTCTGTTGGTAAAGCTCTTGAGGACTTAAGTTCCGTCTTCCAGTAACTCCAGTGCAGGGGAAGGCAGGGACAGATGATCCCTGGGACTTGCTGGCCAGCCAGTTCAGCTAAATTAGAATGCTGCAGGTTCAATTTCAGACTGTCTCAAAAGAATAAAGTGAAGAGCAATTGAGGAAAACACTATCCACGAATCTCTGGCCTACACAGAGACACAGAAATGCACATGTGTGCATACACACATACAAAAATAAATAAAAATTTAAAAAGCCTTAAGAGATTTCAAAGAAGGTTCCTCTTCAGGGCACCAGGATCATGGGATACTGGTCACGTATCCCGAAGATGCCCAGGCTCTTTACGTGGCCCCTCCCCCTCTGCCAGCTGGCCTGCCCACACCCTGGCGGAGATGCTGCCTTGGGCAGCAGCAGCCTCCCTGGCATTGGCTCACCAGCCTCTCCATCTCCTGCTCCCGGAGCCGTTCTTGGCGCTGCCGTCGGTGATACTCCAGGAGATCTTCCTCATTGTCACTGATCTCCGTGATACTATTTTTCCTCTCCCTTGGCATGGGCACCCGCAAGTCCCCACTGGAAAGCTTCCTCTGAGCACGGGGGCTCTGACGAGGTGAGGCCCCGGTAAGGGAGCCCAGACTGTAGGCTGGGCTCAGCCTGCCACTGAAGCTGCCCTTGCGAGGTGCCAGGGACTCCCCGAGCGTGGGCGAGGGACTCCGAGTCCTGCGGCCCCGTGCTCCTAGAGTCAGGGAGAAGTCCTCCGGTGAAGCACCATGGGCTGCCCAGCGCCGGGGCCGGGGACTCTCTGCTACTTCCCTGCTTAGCTTGGAATCTGGGGTAGTCCGGGCTGGCAGTGGGGACAGAGCCCTTCGAGACAGAGATGGACTCAAAGGGGGTAGTTCTCGCATACTGTCCAGGCCCCGCCGGCCCAGGTGGGGACTCTCAGGAGGCTGGAGGGTACGAGTTGCTGACCCATCTGAAAAGGTTCGTCCCACCAGCTGTCGAGAGGGGCTGGTCGTTAGCACCCGCTCTGTGCTTGGGGCCTCACGGAAAGGACTGGGAGGGCGGTCCTGGAGTGTGCCGACCTTGCTGCGCGGAGCGGGGACTGGAGGCTGGAATTTGGGGCTGCCAGGAATACTGGTGGGTTGGCTGCGGGCACCGGAAGATGGATATTCACTCAGGCTGATGGCCACCACAGGCAACTGTCCACCTAGCCGGGGGCTCTCAGTGGTTCTGCGGGCCTCAGCCAAGACTGTGGCTGCAGGACTGTCTGTCAGAAGACCTCGGAGACCAGGACTGGGAGGTCTCTCATGACTCCCTTTTCTGCCCATCCGGGGACTTTCAGAGGAGCGGGCACCACTTGGGCGAGACTGTGGGGGTTGCAGAGCCAAATGGTAGCTAGAGGAACGTGCAGGCACCAGGGGGGGCACAGAAGGTCCTGGTTCCTGCCCACTGGGTGAGTGGCTGGCACAGCTTCCACTGCTGGCTGGTGAGGAAAGTGGAGAGAAGGCTGGAGAGGTGTTCTCATAGCTGGAGCCCACAGACATGGCACCAGGGCTGGTTGCAGGGGACAACAGGTAGCGCCCGCCATTAGCCATTGGTGACAGCGGGGATGTGGCGGCAGGCTTCTTGCCAGCAGCTCCCGGCTCCTCTAGCACCAGGGAGTCCATGATTTCCTGCAGGTCCTTTTCAATAGAGCTCACCAGGGAACTGTGGCTGCCACAGGCTGAAGGTCCCCGGGTCGCAGGCTGTGCCGTGTGGTTCCCATTGACCAGGCTCTCTGATTCAGCTGAGGGGAAATGCAAAGAGGCCTCAAGCTCTGGTTTTTGGCTTTAGGGAGACGCATACATGCGTAATCAAGAAATTACCACATAACCAAATCCTAGGGCAACAGGGCCAGGTTGGTTCTGGAGAAGGAGCCAGGAGAGCTGAGTTCTGGCATCACCCACCTCTGCCACTGACCTGTTCTGCAACCTAGGCCAAACCCTCTTGCCCTGAGCTCCCCTCCTATAAAAGAAGATGATAGGCAGGGCCTCCCTGGCTCTAACACAGAATGACTCAGGACGGAGTCAGCAACAACACCAGCTTTCTTCTAAGTCCAGCTGTCTTCAACTCACCCCAACAATACAGTCCTCCATGCCTTGGTTTCCCCAACTTCCTGTGCCACTCTTTGGGGGAAGAGCAAGCAGGCACACAGCAAAAGAGATGTGGACCCACTGTAGAGGTGGCCAGAACTTCCAAGGCTTCTTAGTCTAAGAGGACACCAGAGCCTCTCAGTACAACAGTCAGAGGCTGGGGCTGGGGCTGGGGCTGGGGCTGGGGCTCCAGGGCTGATGAGCGGTGAATGCGGTACCAGCTTCTTCAACACAACACAGGAGAAGGATCTGCTAATGGCTTGTGCCTGGAAGCCTGGCTGAAGAGCCTCCAGGTACAGCCCAGTGTCTCCAATTATTCCATTAAGCCACACCAGCAAGAGCTGGCTTTCGCCTGGCCCTAGCCCTTGTTAACCAACCAGGAGTTTACAATCCTCAAACCCAAACAGCTATAGGAGTGACATGACCAGACTGGGCTGGGGGCAAAGAGAGTCGTCCCCCGCCAGGGGACTGAACGACATAGGTGCAGGGAGTGAAGAAAAGAATGGGTTTGCAAGATGGCATTTGGGTCTAAAACTAGTCAGAGGGGGCTCCGTGTATTCTCAGTGACCATGTGCCATTCCTGAAGTCCCCAGACTACGGAGGTGACTAATAACCATCCCGTCAAGTGACCCTGCCACAGAATCAGCATGGGACCCTCTAGCCCCATAGCCATCTGAATGCCACCACAGAGCCTGGGTGGCACGCACACTGCTAGCCTCCCCATCTGCACCCCACCCCCTGGGCAGCCGGCTGAGGGGCCTGTGTTGATTCCTACAACAATCACCAATTCTCTTCTATGGATCAATAATTCGCACACGAGCTGCAGCTGCTCTCTGAGTCATCGGTCAGCATGGCATGGCCTGAGGGTTAAGTAGTGCCTCAGGACATGATCACCAGCAGGTGGGACCCCTCAGAGGCTACTAAGGGTTCATCATAAGACTCAGGTCCCCTCAAGTGAGGCACTCTGGCGACGATTCAAGAGGGCCAGTGTCCCAGACACCGAGGGGCATCCTCCAAGGCAGTAAGGTTCCAGGCTACAGAACCCTGACTATTCCCTCAAGGCACATGACTTCCCAGTCTGACCCAAGTATCACTGCCTTGGATCTTTTCCAGTGGCCCTATGGCCCAGCATTCTCCATAACCCCATGGCAGGTGGCAGTGAGCCCAGACCATCGGAATTGTCCTGCCCTAACACTTCAAGAGTGGCTGGAATGGGCAAGGACACATGTCCAAGGGGTGCCACTTACCCAACCACCTGCCCCAGCTGGATACTTACCAGAGCCGGGGTTGTAGGAGGGCCCTGAGGCCCGACCCCCTGCTGGAATCATACTCTTCATCCACTTCGCTTCAGCTGGGTGGTTAAAGCGCAGGAAGGTGGACTGACCCAGACACAACATGCAGCCTGCAGAGGAAGCAATCACTCAGGAACGGCAGGCAGGGCAGAGGCCACCCCAGCCACAAAACTACCACACTTGCCCTCAGCTCCCAAGAGCCACCCCGCCGGACTCAGCGTCCGTTCAATGAATATCTGACCCTGCCTCTCTTTGCAATGGAGCCCTGAGATGGGTCCAGCCCAGGGGAGGAAAGATCACCGGCAGGTAAGTTCCCCAAATCGGAGTCCTACTGTTAGCGCCTCACTAGCTATGAAATCTTCAGGTGACGCCACTACACCTCCAAGCTAGTTCTCTCCCATGACACCTGCTACTGCTCTCCCGGAGTTAACAAGGCTGTATATGTGGAGAGACGGCTCAGAGGTTAAGAGCACTAGCTAGCTGCTCTTCCAGAGGATCTGGGTTCAATTCCCAGCACCCACATGGCAGCTCACAACTGTCTGTAACTCCAGTTCCAGAGGATCTGACACCCTCACACAGACATACATGCAGGCTAACACCAATGTACATAACATAAAAATTAATTAATTAATTAAAAGGATGGTGTATGTGTAAATACTCCAGAGGTGGGAAAAGTTCTTCAGAAAAAAGTGAACTCTGAGCGCCTTTAATCCCAGCACTTGGGAGGCAGTTTGGTGGGTTTGAGACCAGCCTGGTCTGCAAAGTGAGTCTAGAACAGCCCAGGCTACACAGAGAAATTCTGTCTCAAAAAGCCAGAAAGAACGCTCGGGGGCTGGAAAGATGGCTAGTGGGTAAGAGCACTCGCTGCTCACGCAGAAGACTGGAGCTCAGATCCCAGCACTTACAAGGTGGCTCAAAACCACGTGCAACTACAATTCCAAGGGCTGTGATGCCTTCCGACATGTGAGTGTACCAGGTGTGCATGTGGCATCCTTACCTCCAGACAAAACACTCATAAAGCAAATATTAAAACAAAACAAAACACATAAAACAAATCAATCTAAAAAAGAAAAAAAATGAACACCCAGCACCAGTGTGTACCCGTGATTCATCACACTGCCCTTTGGGTAAAAGTGTTGGTGTTAGAGGCAGCAGCTCCCAGAGTCTCACACACACACACACACACACACACACACACACAAACTCTGTGAGCTGTGGGGACAAGTGAAAGCCCGCAGATCGGTCAGGTGCCCGAGTGGGGCTCAGAATTCACAGCAGCTCCTTCCAGTGGCAGGACTGCAGGAGGGCCACCACCCTCGCCGAGAAGCTAGGGAGCAAGCGCTTCTCTTTTGCAGACAAAGCGTCTCCTGGCTGTTTCCTGGTCTCCCGTAGAATCTCGCCAGTTCTCCGCCACTGGGCCCGCTTCAGCCAAGCACATTCCCAGGCAAGAGACACAAGCCCAGTCCTGCCCAGGAAGTTTAAGTGCATAGAAGGAGGTGAGTATGTGGGAGCCAGAAAACGTAGCCAGGGGCTCGGGAGTGTGTACAGCAGCAGGTGTGCCCACAAGGCGCCTAAGCCTGGCTGGCAGAATTCCTCCTCCCGGCATGCCAGGTGTTCCAGGCTCCTGCACAAGATGCTCTACTGCAAGAAGCCAGAGCCCTAGGGCTCTCTCTGCTACTTAGCCTTCCAATTTGTCCACACTCCCGGATGCAACCTCTTGGCTACCCAACCTGGTGCTGCTTGGTGCCCCATGCTCCATGCCAGTCTAAGCCAAGACTGGCAGGGAAATCTACATTCCAGGACGTTGAGGCAGTGCAGCCCAGGGAGGTTGCAAGGACAAGGGGCATCCCAGGCCAAGTGGGTACTTTGACAGGACCCCTACCGAGCTCAGAGACCTGATTCTGGGACCCTAGCTGACCCTAGCTGACACTCTGAGAAGAGCACCCAGAGCAGAAAACCATGGCGGACAGAGCCACCCACTATCTTGGCACACCCACAGGCCCTCCCAGGCAGACGGCTCCAACAGTTCTGAAAGCTGATGGGTAGTTGGGAGAACCACCTTCCCTGCCAAGCCACCAATCAGAGGAGCTAATCCCATAGTAATCATAACTGGGGTAAATACTAGTCACCCAAGCCATCCACCTAATTACAACCACAGCTGTTTGGGAGAAAGTCAGTCGACCCCTCCCCTTTCAGTCAGATAGTTAACAAGTCTAATTGATGATGAATTTGAAGGGTCTAGACAGTCACTCCATTCTAGGGTGATATGGGTCAAGGGCTGTGGCTCACCACACAGTCTAAACTGGACAGCAGGCAGGGAGGTAGGGTGGACTCCATCCAAATAGTTCCAGAGCCACCCGAGGAGGCTTCGGGTATCTAGGGACCCCCTTCCCTGGCACTTACAGGCTAGAGTCACTGTCCTGCCCTTCCCCCACAGGGGGTGTGGTCATGTTGCTCTGGGCTATAAATAGTGGTGCCAGGCACCAGCGCTGTATTAATAGAGTGGGCAGGAGGGCAGCAGCGCAGAGAGCAGACCAGCTCTGGCCCAAATTAACTTACTATTTGTACTCAGGGGCCCCAGGCATTGCTCCAACTCTGCCACCTACTGCCCCCAGAGACCTGACCAGCCTGTCTACTCCAGGAAGCCCCCTCTCTGCTCACTCAGACCGCACACCCCCAGGACTAGCTATCTCCAGAATCCCAGGAAAGCCTGGCCATCCAGAGTCATAGTCCCCGCCTCATCCTCCCCACCTAGAAGGACTCAGGGTCCAGCTGTGTACAGGTGGGTGGAGGAGCTGAACATCTGGAGGGAAAACACTGGGCAGAGAAGAGGGTGGATCCTGTTTGTGAGAGATGCAGAAGGGAAACACCCCACGCAGACTCACACACACAGCCCCTCAGAAACCATACAGTAGGCTCACGGCCATATGGGCGGACATGCTGCACACTCAGAGCGACAGTCACTGCCCTGCTGGCCACACAAATAGAACGGACTGGCCAAAGGGGAGCTGGGTGAGGGCAGACTGTGAGAAAGAACCTTGGCTCTTCTCATCAGAGATTCCGGGTCACAGCACAGGTTCCCTCAAGCTAAGCAGGACCCCTCAACAGGCTCCGGAGGCAGGTCCCAAGAAGACTCCCCAGAGGTGGGGAAGATGGGGTCTGCGCGGCCACTCAATAACTCGGACCCCACTCAAGGACGTTTTGGGCACACAAACCATCAGATTCACAGCCTCGGGCTCCCACAGAGGCGTGAGGATCCCATTTCTCTCATTGCGCCCACCCTTCCCAGGTCGCCCCTCCCAGCCGGAGCGTCTACGCCCGGTTGCCTGGGGCAGTGGCTGACCTGGCTGAGGACTCACCGCTGAACCCGGACCTCCGGACCGTTCGCTCCCCACTAGCCCGGTCCCCGCAGGTCGTCCGCCCGCCCTGGGCCTTTGAGGGGGCGGGCCGACCTCCCGCGCCGCCGGCTCCAGGCGCGGTGCGAGCAGCCAGGCAGCGAGCAGCCGCCAATGCCCGGGGAGGGGCGGGCCGGCCACCAGTGGCGGGGGAAGGGAGCCAGAGAGGGAGGGACAAAGGCGAGGAGGAGGGGAAGAGGAAGTGATGGAGGAGAGGAGTGTGGAGCTGGATGGAGAGGACGGGGTGGGAGGGAGGATGCCACCAGGCGGCGGGATGAAGAACCCGCGCTCCGGGCTGGAGGGCTAGTGGGGCAAGCAGGAGAGGTTCCCAGGGAGATGACGTTGGAAGTTAAGGTGAGAGGTAAACAGAGGCCAGAAGATGGAGAGCCAGAGGTCGGAGTGATACCAGGTTCTGTCTCATGTAGAGCTTTCCAGTGTAGGAAGCTAATGCCTGAAGCCCATAGCTAGGGCCAGTGTCACCTTGGGGCAGTCAGACCTTCTGGCCTGGTGGCCTTGGATTCCTATCCACTGAATGAAGAGAATCGCCTCAGAGACAGCAGAGGCCATTCTATGACTCCATATATGAGAGAGAAAAGAGTGGTAATGCACCTGGGGTTACTAGGTTCAGCTATGACCCTCTGTCCAACACTGTAACAAGGTCACCCTGGGCTGGGAGCTCAGGCCAAGGCAGTGTTCTGTGCAATGCCAGCAACACCGATCTCAGCTCCTGTCACCACCCTATCTGCTTTTCCTTCTGGCCCCCACCCACCAGAGCTCACCCCCATTGACCCAGGCTGTCGCTACTCCGGGGCCAGCTCCACAGGTCAGCCCTCCTTTCTCTTAGCCACAACGTCTAATTGTGGTCGCTGCAGCAAAGAGCCATCCTCTATTAAGACCTTTTCTGGGGCTAGAAAGATGGCTCCATGGTGAAAAGCACTGGTTGCTTTCCCAGAGGATCCAGGTTCAATTCCCAGCACCCACAAGGACCTTTATGACTGTCTATAACTCCAGTTCCAGGGTATCCACCTTTCTCTTCCAGGCACTCTGTGGACACTAAACACACAGACATAATTGTAGGCACACATAAAATAAATAGTTTTGTTTGTTTGTTTGTTTGTTTGTTTTTAAACTTAAAGACCAATGCTGCCTGGAACCTCCAAGGTCAAGTAAACATTGTGAACCAGACTGGTATATATTGGCTGGGGCCCCTAAAATTGCTTTTAACCTAGGGACCTGGCTCCGGACACCAGACAAACCACACACACTCTCAGACACAGTCTGTGCCCAGCCACCCAGGAAGAGTCAACTGTCATCTCCGATATATACCAACACCGCCTGGGCACACTGACACCACCCCAGCCAGACACACACTGATCCGGAGAAGCCCCCACACTTCACATGCTCTATCAGACACAATTATCGTCAGTTTCATGTCCCCAGCCTCCAGCCCCCCTTACTTATGTACTTCTCTGAGCAGAGCTAGCCTTTCAATCAGCCCCTGGAGGGACTTTGAAACAAAAAGCCAGCTTCCTTAGCGAAATAAGAAGTGAGTTTTCTATTCTTGTTGAATAGGTCAGGTCACTGCCTCACCCACTCACTGTCCATGTTTTGCATGTGCACGTGCAAACACACACAGACACATACACTCACATGCACACAGGAAACTTGTTTCCCTTCTGGAGAGAAAAAAAGGAAGAACCATATAGGGTCAAACGTAAAACAAGGGGAGGCGTTAAAAAAAACAGACTCCTCAGGAAGAGTGATTCACCAGTCTGGAAACTGTGATGGCCAGCTGGACAGACCCAGGCAGACAGGGAGGATACTGCCAGTGAGAAGCAGTGGGAGAGGCAGACACAAGGAAGCTGGGAGCTCCCAGCCTTCGCTCCTGCTCTCCTTCCCTTGAGTTTGCTAGTAAAGATCATTATCAGTCCTAACAGAGAAAGCTTGGAGGCTTCCTGCCCAGTTCACAAAAGGAATAACACAGCCGGAGGGGAAAGGGAGAGCCTGGTGTCCTGGATCACAGGGTGGCAGCTGGCACCCCGGGAATCCTGGCTGAACTGGGGCTCCTTCCCGCCAACGGGAGGGCTCCAGAAGTGAGGGACACTTAGATGGTGGCAGTGCATGGCAGGAGTTGATGAGGTCTATTGTCTAGACAGCCCAGGCCCTGAGCTCTGTGGCTCTCTGGAGTCTCTTTTCTGCAATCCCCCTTCCAGATCTTTCATGTGGTTTGGTGCTGCGGTCTCAGGGTGGAGCAGCCTAGACCCCAGACTGAGATGCAGCCGCCCCGTTTCCTTGGTCCCTCTCCCAGCTCCTCCCTTTGCTCTGTAGAGAAGAGGGCAGCATGGGGTGTGCCAAGATGCCTGGGTACAGGGGTGGCTCCCTCGCATGTTCATTTCTCTAGGCTAAAGGTTAGCATGTTTTCTGGCTTCCTCTCCCTCCTCTGGCCCAAGCCTACTCCTGGCTAGAAGAGCCTGTCACTGCCATTTCTGCTTGCCATGAAGCGTGTCATTCCAAGTTGCCTATGGCTGGGCATAGTGCCCAGACTGATGCTTCTGAGGCCTGGCCCAGCCAAAGGAGGCTCCTTGTTATTCCCAAGATATCCCTTTATCTCCCAAAGAGGATCCCTGATACAAGTCCAGAGCAGACAATAAGACAGGAAAAAGATATGTGTGTGTGTGTGTGTGTATCTGTGTGTGTGTGTCTGTGTGTATGCGCATGCGCATGCTCGCTAGTGCACACACACGCTAAACCTAGGGCCTTATGTTGCTAGATAAATGCTTCACCACTGATCTACATTTCCAGCCTTATGTGATCCTCTTGATTACATGACATGCCATGGAGTTCTCATGCACACACAGAAATACACACAGAGAAATACACACACAGAACTGATGCCATCAGTTCTGAGTTCACCCACCACCCATTTGAAGATACTCATCTATAAACACAAGGAAAGACACAAATAAACAACGAAACATACAAGCCCAGAGACACAAACATATCCAGAGACACATAAACACAGTCCAGTTAGCCAGACACACTGAGACAGCAATGCACCCCTGCACCACCCAGTATCCAAGGAAACGCACTCCCAAGAATGTCCGGACTGGGGCCAGGCAGGGCTGGGCTTGGTGCCTTGCTCCGGAGATGGGACAAGGAAACTCTCAACTCCTGGAACCCAAGGGAGGGGGAGGGCTAGGAAGAACACCCATTCCTTTGTGCCTCCGCCTACCCTGCCAAGCTTCTGAAACAGGCGAGTCCAGACAAGAAGGCTGGGTTGGGGGTGGCAAAGGCAGTTTAGGGTCAGAAGAATGTAGGAGGGCACACACTTGGCAAGACGAGCTTCTGGATCTGCAAAGGGGTCACTAGGGCCACAGGAAATGTTTAAGTATTCTGCCTCAGACCCTCCCTCTTCTCAAGAGCTAAATGATGCCCTAGGAAGATGGAACACAGCGCTGATGCTTCTACACCATTCACTCTCCATAGAGGGCAAGAATGCACTTACTAGAGGAAATGATTGGGGGAATGAGGTAGAGGCTGGGAGGTCTTTGAACTTGCCCAGTCGATTCCTTTGCTGCTCTGCATCTCACTGAATCCCAGAGCAGATGTTCTCTCTGACAGAACAGGGACCAGACAGCATCACAGCCAAAGCCCCGGTTTGTAGGGACTCTTCTCAGAGACCCAGAAGAAGGCAAGCCTTCCCTCAGCTGCTGCAGGACCCGCCTCCCTGAAACACGTTACCCCTGCTCTGCCACACCCGGAGAGCAGAAGGGGGGAGGGGACCTGGTTAACTCCTATCCCAGAGATGAAGGAAGTAGCACTTAAGATTCCCAGTGAGCTTGAGAGATGGCAGGGTGAGTGGATTTCCCATGCAAAGAGGCTTCTACCTAATGGGCGTCTCATCAGAGCCAGGCTCAGCTCAAAGCCTCCATCCTTATGTGAGCCTGACTCACAGAGATGCCTCTGCTTCTGCCTTTGGGGAGCTGTGATTAAAGGTGCGTGCCAGGTGTGCCTGGCCAGCTCTTCTTTCCCCAATCCCTAATACAAAGACCCGCAAATGAACTAACGATGCTTCGTGCCTGTTTCCAAGGTGACTACATCTGGCCTATTCAAAGTACCACCTGGCCAGCCCTTACCTTCCTGGTAACCATGGTAATTAGGGGCCTTTACACACCAGGGCTTCTCTAACCCAACAGAGCAGCCTAGCCCCTTAGGGAACAGAGGGGCCACATCCATGACCCTAAGCTCCAGGAGCAGACATGTCCTCAAATTCTGCCCTTGTCCCGTCCCCTCAGAGAATCTCCTTATCTAAGGCAACTCAAAACAACTCCCTCCTGACATCATAAAACATCTCTGACCCTTTCTCAGTGCTGTTCCTCCTTCTCTTCCCTTATGACCACTAAAAGCCACACTATATATACCAGGACCCTCTGACAACAGGAACTAAAAGCTCTTCTCTCCATGTGGTGTGTGGAAAAAAAAAAGTGAGGGGGGAAAAAAGAGATCTTGGAAAGTTTGGATGCTGGGAGTGAGGGTGGAGGAGAGATTTTTAAGATGTTCTGACATCAACACTGACCCTGAGTACAGCCAATCACTCGGTTGACACAGGGACCACCACAGCAGGCTTCCCCCACACTTAACATGCACAAGCTACAAATCAGAGACCACCAATGCCCTCCCTCCCCTGCATGCATGTGGAGGTATCAAACCTTACCCTGAGTGAGCCGGGTAGGCTGCCGAACAGGGAGCCCATCAATAGTGCAGGCATTGCCACAAGGGTAGAGGGTGAGGGTGCCCCTCAGGTTCTCGATGTAACAGTGCTCTGGAGCCAGGCCTGGACCCTGTAGTGAGATGTCCCTGGCTTCGGAACCAATCACTGTCCTCCCTGGAGACAGGAGACAAACTGAGTCAGAACGGCTGCTATCTGGGCTAAGACGGCGAGGAGATGGCAAGGGGCCACTGTGGGAGTCTATTTCTATCTTCTGCTTAAGTTGATACTCTGCCCAGTTCTAGCTACCCCTCGTAGGTCCTCGCTGGAGCCAATAAGTGGTAAAAAAAAAAAAAAAAAAAAAAAAAAAAAACACACTCTTTGTCTGGGGGGGATCCAGAGAAAGGCCTCATAACTCAAACACCTTGACAGCAGAGAGGGGGACCTCTACCTGTCCCCCGAACTGAACTGCCTTCTTGTACTTCCTCCTTCCTCCCCCATCTTCTTAGAAATGCCCCCATCTCTCTTTAGTCCTTCTTTTCCCCCCACCCTACCCCCTCCCTCTGTCCTACCCTCTCTCTCTCTCTCTCTCTCTCTCTCTCTCTCTCTCTCCAGTGCAGCCTCCCTTCTCCATCCCTCCCTGGTAGAGCCCCTGAGACTGGCATTTGGAGAATGTGGGGAATGCAGTATCACCCAGGCAACAGGTGCAGCCAGGAAGGGAGAAGGGCAGGCAAAAGTCATGCCAGGGCCTCCTGTTAGGATATATGCCCATTTTTTCATGTTCCACACAGTTCAGTCTCTTAGGCCAGGCATCACCCTGGAGCAAGGGTGGGTTTGGGACTCACTGTTGATCCCCGTGGACTGCTAAGAGAACACTGCTTTCTTCTTTCCCCCCTCCTCTCTTCCTCGATTCTAAGATGATCTTTAAACCCAGCCATGGTACCCGTTTATCTGCCAAAGAGGGCAGGCAGGCAGGGGAGGCAGAGACAAGGCAAGCATTGCTTTCACAAGGCAGAAGCCCCTGCCCCCAGTCTCCAGGGCAGGGATGCATGCAGTGACAAAGAGGGCAGGTGCCACGTTCAGCCACAGCTTAGCTTACCTTCCTCCAGCGGCAGGAGCGTGATCGCTGTGCTGAGTCTCCCGCTGCCCAGGCTCACCAGGTGAGGTTTGTCCGTCTGCACTTTCAGTCCTTTTCCCGTCTCAATCAGATCCAACGGACCTTTCTGCAGGTAATGTGGGTGGGAGGTGAGAGCAAAGACTCCAGGCCAGCACCCTACTCCCAGTCACACCAACACTCCCTGCGGCCCTCTCTCGGCCCTCTCCAAGAGGCTCTGAGGTGTCTGGGAGGCTTAACACAAAAATCTCATGCAGAACATTACTGCACTAAATTCTAATTACATCTGAATCTGGGCCTCTAGCTTGGATTTATCCCAAGGCTAGGTTCAACTGCCCCTTTTGTTTATTAAAATAAAAACAAGGCGTGGGGGGGGGGCGCAGTAGAGGAGGGCCAGTCTAGCTCCTGGCAGTCTACCCACATGGCTGTGGCTGGCTCCTGCTAAGCTGAACCGCAAGGGAGGGTGGAGGCATGAACCAGGAGAGGATCCATAAACCGATTTCAGACTTTCACAGAGTTGATTGGCTGAACCAATTACCTGGTTCAGATCAAGACTGAGCTCGTAATAGGCTTTCACCTAGGGATGGGCAACGGGCAAAATACTGCTATTCTCATCCTTGGACTTGGACAGCTGATGGGCAAAAGAGCTGAACTCAGGCTGGAGAAATGACTCAGTGGTGTAAGGGAAGGTTCTGCTCTTGCAGAGGACCCACGTTCAATTCTCAGCACCCACATCAGAAGGCTCCAGTCCCTCTAATTCCAGCCCCAGTGTTATCGGACTCCTCCGACCTCCTTGCACTTCACACAAATGTACCCACACACACAAACATAATTTAAAATAAAAATAAAACTTTAAAGCAAGCCTCACCAGGAACCCTCTTACCCTATGGTCTGGCCCCACTCACCTGCACCACAGCTGGGGTCTTGCACCCAGGGCCTAGCTGGCTCCTGTTGAGAGTGTCCATGGTTCTACAGCTCCAGAGCTCCTGGGAACACGATGAAAAGCAGGTAAGAGGGAAGGCTGGGGATGGAGGAGAGAAGCAGCTTCTGAGGCAGGGTTCTCTGGGCAAAGCCAGAACCAGTCTCAATGATCTCCAATAAGCATGTGATGAAGGAAAGGTGAGGAAAAAAGCTAAGGAGCTTGGGGGGGGGGGGAGCAGAGGTAACAAGTCCTCTGCCTCCCCTTAGCTTCCAGCTACAGCGCAGACACTACACCACACCAGTCTTAACCCTTGTCACGACACACACAAACAGCCCCATAGATCTAGCCCACGATTCTGCATTTTCTTGTTCTATACTGCCCAGGTCCAAGGACTTAGCAGCAGCAGATGTCTGCCTCCCTTCCCCTGACCCCCTGCCCCATTTCTAGCCACCTGGAGCCTTAAACAGAGCAGGGCCTACCAAAAGAAGAACAAGTCCAAGGAAAACTAAGTACACTGATAGCCAGGGGTCAGTCAGGTGAGTGCAGGCCTGCTGCAACTGCAGCCCCTCCCCCAACCTTTCCTGTTCCTCTTCTCCCTTTGTCTCCCTTCCCAAGGGTCTCAGTAGGATGTTTTCATAAAGGAGGCGGCTCGGGGAAACCCAGCCATTCCTGTCCTGTCTGTATGCCTCAGCTCCTGCACTTTTTCTTTCCTTGAAAGCTACCTCACCTAATATAAGCAGCTTTAGAACCTCCGTTCCACAGACTAGAGGACTCTGGGGCTCTTGGTTCGTTGGCGTTGGAAGAACCAGAAGTAGACTCCAGAGCTCAAACTTGAATCTCCTGCCTATCTATTATACCTCAGTAAATCTGTTTGGTACATTTGTTTCTTTGTTTTTTTGTTTGTTGTTTTTTTTTTTTTGTTTTTGAGACAGGGTTTCTCTGTATAGCTCTGGCTGTCCTGGACTCACTTTGTAGACCAGGCTGGCCTCGAACTCACAGAGATCCACCTGCCTCTGCCTCCCCGAGTGCTGGGATCGCAGGCGTGCCCCATCACGCCTGGCTTGTTAGCTTGTTAGGTATGTTCTTAAAGTGTCTGAGGACCAAGCAGGACACTAGGTCACACCCTGTGAGGTACGAGGCACTCTGGAAATGGCAGCTATTACAAGCTGTGCAGCCTTGAAGGCGAAGGTTCACCACTATCCACCCCTCATTCCCAGGCTTAAGTGTTTGGTGTCTGATCTTCGTGTATGAACATGTTGCAAAATCATCGGGGTCTCTTCCCACTTTCTCTTCCAGCTATCAGGTGACTTCAAAAGAAGTAGAGATGGGAGGCCACATTCCAAGGACTGTCAACTCCTGGATCTCCGAGGCCCTTGGCCACAGTTACTAAATGTACCCTTCTTTCTGGCCTGGCCTTCATCATCTGTCACCATTTCTACTCATGTTGGCAGAAAAAAGGCAGGAACAGTGCCTGGGACCCACCCCAGGACCATCTGAGGAATGGGAGGACTAAGACCACTGAAGAGCACCAGGTCCCACACTGGCCCCAAACTGGGCCCTCTCCAGAAGCACTGACAACAAGGAAGTTTCTAGAGACAGAGCTTTATTTATCTTTATGTGCATTGGTGTTTTGCTTGCATGGTCTGTGAGGCTACCAGATCCCCTGGAACTGGACCCACAGACAGTTGTGAGCTGCCATGTGGGTGCTGGGAATTGAACCTAGGTCTCTTAACCACTGAGCCATCATCTCTCTAGCCCCAAGGTCTTTCTTATGCACAAGGAAATTTCTCAGCTTTTTTTTTTTTTCTTTTTTTTAGGGAGGAGAGACAAGGAGTGTGTTGAAATTGGGGAATTATGTAAAAAGAGTGGGAAAGAAACAAAAAACAAAAATAAAAATGGTAGAGGAAAATACTGTTCTTTCTTAGGAAGACTTTTAGACTGGCATGAAAGACCTCAAAATTTACCCTGGCCGGTTATAGAGTAGAAAGTAAAGGCTGGTTGGAATGGTGTATGCTTTTAATCCCAGCATGCAGGAGACAGAGGCAAGTGGATCTGTATGAGTTCGATTCCAGCTTGGTCTACACAGCAAATTCCAGGCCAACTAAAGCTTCATTTCAGGGAGATCTTGTCAGAGACAAAGAGAGACAGAGACCTTGAAGTTATTTCTAAACCTCTAGATACACCTTAGGTGTTCTGACATCATGCCCTCTTTTATGTAGTGCTAGGGCTGGAATCCAGGGTTTGGTTTTGTTGTTTATGTTTTTCTCTGTGAAGCCTCGGTTGTCCTGGAACTCACTCTGTAGACCAGGCTGGTCTCAAACTCAGAGATCCACCTACCTGTGCCTCCAGAGTGCTGGGATTAAAGGTGTGTGAGCCAACACTTGCCAAACATTCTACCAAATGAGCTACAACCCCAAGATCCTGGAGTGGTTTGTTGTTGTTTGTTTGTTTGCTGAGACGGGGTCTCAGATTGTAGCTAATGCTGACCTAGAATTTACTATGCGGCCCAGGCTGTTCTAGAACTCCTGTTTTTCCCCCCCTCAATTGCTGGTTGTACAGCAGCAATTGAGGTAAGACAGGTAAATCAGGTAAGCCACCATGTCTGGATTGGACAAGTCATTAAACTTTTCTCCTTGCGAAGTTAATCTTCTATTTAAACCAGAATAATAATAATAATTAAAGAAAAATTAGCTGACTCAGGGAGGCAGAAGCAGGCAGATAGATGTGAGTTCAAGGCCAGCCTGGTCTACAAAGCAAGTCCAGGACAGCCAAGGCTACACAGAGAAACCCTGTCTTGAAAAACCAAAGGGGCGGAGGGAGGAGAGACTAGCCGGAAAGGGCTTGTCTGGAACAGTGCTTGCTTGGGGCTAGGAGTAGAACAGAGATAGACTGTGAATAAGCAACAGAGGAGCAACAGAGATGTTCTTTTGGGGGAAGTTCATGTGTGTACATGTGTGTCTAGGACATGTGTGCAGTGGCCAGAGGTAGATGTCAGATGTCCGCTTTCTCTCTCTCTCAGTCATTCCCTTGAGTCAGGGTATCTCATCAAATCTGAACTAGGCTGGTGCCTGTCAAACCCCCGCAATCCTCCTGCCTCTTTCCCACCCCCAGCTTAGAAGTTAGACACTGGGTGCTGGAGATTTGAACTCAGGTCCTCACACTTGAGCAGCAGCCATTTTTACTGGCCTTAAGCCATCTTCCCAGCCTGCGACAGGAATTAAGTTTCAATGATGGTTGCATAGCTTCTGTAAATATGCTAAAAATAATTGCATACTTAATTTGCATTGATTTTATGTTATATAAATTAATCCTCAAGAAAGCTGAGAAGAGAGAGAGGTTGGGAGCTTGAGAAATCTCTCTTCAGTTAAGAGCACTTGTTGCTCTTCCAAAAGACTAGAATTCTGTTCCCATTATCCACATGGTGGCTCACAATAATTTGTAACTCCTGTTCTAGGGATCCCTCACCCTCTTCTGGCCTCCATAGGCTCCAGACATACACCTGGTACACAGACATACATGCAAGCAAGACACTATACACACAAACATTTAATTAAAAAAAAAAAAAAAAAGGTTATCTGAAGATCCAGGCAATGTACTACAGCACACTCCATGAACTACGAGGCAATCTGAAAATGGCAGCTATGATTAGCTGTGGAAGGTGTTTAGGTTTGGGCCTCAGTTTCCTCTTCTGCCACCCTGGAGTATTTATCACTGTCACCTGTAAAGCACTTTTACTTATTTACACTGAATACACTCAGGTGGAGATAAGGATTGTAAAGGAACTAGGTTAGTGAGGAAATAAGAGTGACTCAAGGAGAGTCGAGACAGGGACTAAGGAGGTGAAATGAGAGGGAGAGATAAGGAGAGAGGTGTAGAGAGGAGATAAGAAACCACACAGCAATTGGAAGGTGCGAGGCTGTGGCCTCAGCACAGAAACCTAACCCACAGCAAAGGAAAGACACCAGGCCAGCATGACTCTGGCTCTGGCACTGTTTTGACAGAGGGATCTCACCATGGCCCAGGTGCCCTCTTTTCTAACCCCAATCCCATGTCCCATGGAGAAGCAGTGCTGTCCCCTGACACCCTCCACTGGCTGGCTCGGACTGCTATCTATGGCTAGGGCTGTAATTACCCACTCTATGAGGCATTTCTGGGGACCTTAGCTGTGCCCAGATGCCACCCCCTCCCCAGAAGGCCCTTGTGGTTTGGCTCCCACTGCTGAGGAGCCAGCCTGGCTCTCTACAACAACGCTTCTGCACCCATATGCAGACACCCAAGCACCTCCTAGTCAGCTAGGTGGCAGGAGCCAGGCTATGTGACTATTATCAACTTAGGGAACGATGCCCTAGTATAAGGCATCCCTCAGGTAACCCTAGCTCCAACCCCCATGCGCCAACAGCTGACAACACTAGCACCTGTCCCCAAGCCTCAGCACCTAAACAAAGCTAAAGGGAGTCCTGGGGAGAGGCAAGAGCTCTGGCCCCAAGATGAAGGTTCCAAAGCCAGCCTTTAGAGGGAAAGGCCAGGTCCCGCTCCTCACCTGGGTCCCATGGGGCCAGCCGGCAGATCGCGAGGGGCAACGCATAGCTATAGGTCAAGGCCTTTCCTCTTCCCTACTCACATCCGCCTTCGAGGAAGAGGAAGAAGTCAGGACGGGAAGGAAACTGAGGCTGGGAGGGCAAGTTGCCCAGGAGAAGCAATGAGAGTGTCCAGGGGCTGGTGAGGCGTGTAGAGAAGAAATTAGAAATAATAACGATAAATAGGCAGGGAGAAAAAGGGGGTCTGTGGAAGGGGAAGAGGCGCCGGGATACGGAGTGTGAAATCAGGAGCCCAGAGAGCAGGAAAAACCGAAAGCTGGCGAGGAGAGCCGGGGTGTGGCGGTGCTCGCCTGTAAAACTCCGGATGTGGCGACAGGAATATCAGGCATTCAAGGCCAGCCTCGGTTACATGAGACCTAGTCTCAAAAAATAACAGCAGTGCCGGAGGAGAGAGACACTGAGCTCAGAGGGGACTGGGGGGGAGGCCTGGCAGTGTGTGTGTGTGTGTTAGAAAGACTTAGAACACAGGCCCCAAGCAGAAGCGGCAGAAGGAGAAACAGGCGCTTCAGAGCACCTTGGAGGGGGAGATCATGGGGCAGGTGGGAAACGAGGACTCCTCGGAAGCAGGAGGAAAGAGACGTGGACAGCTGGAGGGGGGAGAGAGCAGAGGAGAGAGAGTTGGGAAGAAAGAGTAGTTGAGGGTGGAGGGGTCTTGGGGAGCAACGCTGGAAAGATGCACTTCTCTGAAACCGGCGGGCTTCGTGGATCTCCGCACACGAGGGGCCTGGCCCTCCCCGGGTCACCGGGTGGGACAAGGCTTCAGTGTTGGGCCTCCGGCTGCGGCTGCCCCGCCCGCCGGGCCCTGGGACAAGCGGCCTTTCTTCCACGAGGCCCGGAGAAGAAGTCGCTTGTTTGCACGGCAGGAAAAGGGGGCGGCCTTGCAGCTGCAGGAAGGGGGCCGGCGCGTGGAGGGAGGTGCGTGTGTGCCTGCGAGCGAAGCCGCCTCCCTCCCGGGGCGACGCTTTTCCGAACAGCGCGTGGAATCCGCGGCGCGAAGCGTCCCAAGTGTGTGCCCAAGTCGAGGCGAGTGTGAAGGATTCGTGCGTGCACCGGTGGCGGACACCGGGCTGGCGGTGTGACGTGTCTTGCGGGTGGGGAGGGGGGAGGGGAGGCGTGGGATGCTATGCGTGGGAGCTGCGCGGATGCTCATGCTAGCGGCGTGTGACCAGCGTGGCTGGCGTGAGCCCGAAGTGCGATGAGTCAGTCTCCGGGACCGCTGAGCTAACGGGCCCAGAATGCAGCCCCACCCCGGCTCCCGGGGTCCCCCGCCGGGCCGTGCGGTCGCGGGCCAGGTCCCCGCTGCGCTGGCCTGGGCGGAAGCGTCCGCGGCGCCGGGGCAACCCCCGCGCCCCGCTGCCCCACCCAGCCGCCTGCCCCGGCCGGCGCTTCCCTATCCCGGGGGAGCCGGATGACGGGGCCCGGCCTCTGTGGGGGAACTCCGCGCTGTGTCTGGATCCAGACTGCGGAGGCGGAGCGACAGGCTGAGGCTCAGTCATCCCAGGTCGCCCTTGGAGGCTCCCGGGACCCTCAAAGACACGGGGTCCTCGAGGAGGCGTGCCCAGGAGACCCTAGATGTGGAGACCTCAGATCCCTCCCCGACTCCCACGCCTCAGGGCTAGATCTTTGAGTTCATCCAGGCAGCTGGACCTGGGTCAAGAGCGGAGACGCCTAGGGGATCCCCCTTCCTGTGGTCCTGCTGGGGTGGAGAGGGGCCCTGAGGGATGCTGGAGACAAGGACACGAGCGCGTACCCCACCCGAGACTGCGAGCGGGGGATACCGTCCGTGGGGCGCCCACGGGAGAGCGGAGTTCCCTCAGGGCTTGGGGGTCCCTCCGCAGGGAACCAGGGCCCCCCCTGGCGGTAGCGCTGGCAACGACTCGGGAGGGCAAGAGCAAACAGTTCACCAAGAGCGACCCACAAAGCCCCTCCCGCCAACGCACTCACCTGGCGTGGCACCTTTCTGCCCAGCTCTCTGGGCTAGACCGACCTGGTCTGGGCCTAAGGACTTTCTCTTCTGCAGACCCAGCCATAAGGCGAGTGGAACCCCAAGGGCACAGCGGGAGAGGCACGCTTACCTCGTGGAAAGTTGGGGGACACCGGTCCCTTTGCCCAGCCTGGCCGCGGCGGCCTCAGGCTGGCGAGGACACTGTTGCTTTTCCACCGGAGCCAGCTGAGTAGGAGGGGAGGGAGCCTGGCCCGCCCCCCTCCCCGAGTCTCCGCCCTCATCCCCGTCCTGTCCTCCTGGCCAGCTAGAGAAGACGCCCTTGTGGTGCTGGAGCCCGAGGCCCCCACCCAGCCTTTCCCACAGCAGCACCTCCCCCGCCTGCACAGCGCCCGCTTTGTTCATCTGTACAGCTGGGTTTTCCACCACGGCCACCGGCCACCACCCTGCATACTTGCTCCTCCCGCCCTCCTCTTTCGACCCTCCTAGACCACCCTCCACCCTGGGCCTCGAAGCTCGTCTTGATCTACTCCCTCCTACTCAAGATGCTTAAATCTTCCACAGACTCCCAAAGAGCCCGACCACGGGTTCTCAACTTTTCTACTGAGGCGAACCAGGTCCTTCCGCTGTCGGCCCTTCCACTTTCTTATTCCAAGCCCCATCATAGAGTGCTATAGACAGAATTAATGATTGCACACAAGGTTTCAGAAATTAACAGGAAGGCCTGTTAAAAAGTGTGGTGCAAGCCGACAGGAGTGGCGAACGCCTTTAATCCCAGCTCTCAGGAGGCAGAGGCAGGCGGATCTCTGAGCTCGAGGCTAGCCTGGTCTATGGTGAGTTCCAGGACAGCCAAGGCTACACAGAGAGACCCTGTCTCGAAAAACAAAAACAAAACGTGTGGTGCAAACTACAAGACCCAGGAGGCCTGAATGGAGTCGCCCCCTTGCCTCCACAGATTCACCCCATCACAGACTTGCTGGGTTACAGGCAGACGGGAGGCAGGCTGAAGGGTGACAGTCAGTGAGAAAGAAAAGAGGGGAGCCATCTATAAACCTAGCCTGGTGAAGTCAACCCCCACCCCGGAATCCAAGCTGACGGTGGAGCCTACCTTGCAAAGCCTGCTTTTGCCCCAGGAGACCGCTGGGAGGCCCAGTGGGAGCTGATCTCAGAGACTGAGCCTCTTTAATCCGCACTAGAGGATTGGCAGACACTCTTCCTCAGTGAAGGAAGGAACAGGAAGCCCCCAAAACTGGCCTAAATTCCAGATGGGATGGGTTGGAAAAAAAAATTTTAAAACGAAAATAGTCCTCTTTGGAATGGACAAGCCCTGTTCTGATCCAGTGGCTTTTGTTTTGTGCCTTCTTTCTCTGACCCGGGAATGGCAGGAGACTGAACTGCAGGAATTTGGTCACTCATTGACAGGACTAGAATTAGTAGCGGGCACCCACACTTAAACCAGAGACAGCCAAGCAGTGGACAAGAGGGGGGAGGAGAAAAAGTCCCCCTTGCCACCTACTCCAGCCAACAGAAGCGAGACATAAACTGTGGGCACCAGGAAGTCCCAAGATTTATGCAGGAAATCTCTTTCTACCTCTCTTCGTATTATTTGAGGCTCATGGAAAAGATTCAACTCTGGCCAACCATCCTGAGGCACATATCACAAGAATAACTTTCAGGCTGTTCCAGTGCGTTTGTTTGAGGAAAAAGAGAAAAACAAAACACAATTATCTTGTTCCATATGTGAAGACCTAGCATTTGAGGAGGGGGCTCAGACCGGGATGTGTTGAACTCTTCAGTCTTTTTAGCAGCCTTCAGCTGCTATTTACTGATCAGAAGGGCTGTCAAGCAATAATTAAACCTGCTGGAGGCAGATGCTGCTGAAGCAGGGGGTTAAAACGCACCTAATCTTTCTCAGTGTCCTTCCAATGCAGAACCAGCTGACCCTGTGATCGGGGCCCTATGAAATTTGTCCTATCTCTTGCCGTGTCCGGCCTCTATATTCCCACAGTTAGAACACTCAGGGGACTAAAGACCTCCCGCCCCCGCCCCTCCACCCTCCTCCCACTCCACATCTGGAGCCCATCAAAAAGCTCAGTGCTCTCTCTGAGTTATGCAAGAGGTCGAGCAGCTGGCTGGGAGCTCAGAAAAGGGGGAGGGAGAGAAGAAAGTAGAAAACAACTTTCCAAGCCTGCTTCAGACTTTCCGAAATGGAAGCAAGGGGAGAGGGCAAGGGCTGAATGTGGAAGGAAGGGTGAGTTCTTCAAAGCCTTCTGCACTTGGCTGTGGCTGTCAAGATTGGGTTTCCACACCCTTCTTGTCTTTGCCTTGGCACATTTTCCATTCTGTTCCTCTTCTCAAACTGTGCTGCTCCCTCTGGCCCCAGAAGAGGGTGAATGTTACCCATTTGGCCAGCAGCCTCTGTAGTCTACTCCCTCTCCCAGAAAGCTACCTACCCCTCTTGTGTAAGAGTTTCCTCAAGATTGAAATTCTTTCCTGTAGGGGAAGCTCCAAGAAGGGTAAACAACTCAAAAACGGCTTCGGCTTCAGGAAGTCCCTGAAACTGATCAGATTCTCCAGGTCCTTTCCTGTCAGAGTAAGCAATAAAAGCCAAGAGTGCTTCTCAGACAAGCTCGGAACAGCTGCCTCGAAGAGGTTTAGAGCAACTGAGGCTCTTGGAAAGGCCAGTCTCTACCCTGTTGAGCAGCCTGCAGGCTGCGCAGTGTGCCCCAGGTTCCCAGCTGTGTGAGCTGGCACTCATGGGGTGGGGGCTTGTGATACAGCTCTCTTTGAGTCATTTCTGCTCCTGTAAAGAAACTCATCATCAATATTCTTATAAATAACTCCAATAAAAGTCACTGGTTCACCCTGTTGGACTTTGGTGGTATCTGTACTTTGCTCTATCTTGGGTTCCCTTTCTGGGGTGAGTGGACCTGTGTGTTGTGTCTCCCTAGGAAAAGTTTTGTCATACAACACCTCTGTGACCCCTTTGGTTACTCAGTGATGCCAGGTACCTCCTCATTGCATCCACTTTGGAGGAAATCGTCCTCAAACTTTACCTTAACAGTGGTAAAGCTGTCTCTGACATGAACTCAAAGGCTGGCTCTTTGACTTCCCCCTTCCCCCGAGGGAGGAGCAGCCTTGCTAGGCCACAGAGGAGGACATTGCAGCCAGTCTTGAAGAGACCTGATAAGCTAGGATCAGATGGAAGGGGAGGAGGACCTTCCCCATCAGTGGACTTAGAGAGGGGCAGGGAAGAGATAAGGGAAGAAAGGTGGGATTGGGAGGGAATGAGGGAGGGGCAACAACTGGGATACAAAGTAAATAAACTGTAACTAATATAAAAATAAAAATTTAATAATAAAAAAAAAACAGTGGTAAAGCCGCTCCTTTATCAGTTGGTCTTAGAAAATTTGTACAATCCATACTTGTATGCAAATCTAATGCAGTCAAGCTGTGTGGGAAATGTGGCCAGCACTGAGACTGGTCTTGTCTACCTCTGTGGCTCAGAACCTGCCTCTGAGCAGAAGAGAACAAGCACTGAGGCATTGGGTGGCAGCACAGAGGTAGAGGGCATGTTGCCTGGTATGTAAGGTCTTCAATCAATCTCCAGATTGCACACACATTTACTTGAGAAATAAAATCAGTTGTTTTTCTTATTTTTACATTTATTCACTTTACATCCCGACCATTGCCCCCTCCCTTGTCTCATCCCAGTCCCACCCTCCTTCTCCCCCCCCCCCATCCCTGTCCCCTAGTCCTCAGTAAGGGGGAGTCCTCCTGCCCTACCAACTAACCCCAGCCTATAATCTCATCAGGACTGGCTGCATCCTCTTCCTCTATAGCCTGGCAAGTGGACAACAGAGTCTGTGTCAGAGATAATTCCTGCTCTCCTTACCTGGGAACTCACATGGAGACTGAGCTGCCTATTGTCTACATCTGAGTAGGGGCGTAGGTCCTCTCTATACATGGTCTTTGGTTGGTGCATCAGTCTCTGCAGGCTGCTCTGGGCCCAGATTTGTTGGCTCTGTTGGTCTTGTGGAGCTCTTGTCCCCTCCAGAGGACCACTCTTTTAAACAGTTCCTGTTCTGGTTTGTTAATCAACCTGATCAAATAGGGAACATCCAGGTGTTTCCTAGAATTGGATTAGGACCTTTAGGGCTTTGAAGTGTTTCCAATTATCTGACATTGTAACGCAACTTGTAATCCATAAAGATCAAACTCAAGAACCATGTAATTGATGTTAAAGGGTGTATGTGAGAGCATTGGCTCAGTTGTTAAGGGCACTGGCTGCTCCTCTGGAGGACCTGGGCTTAATTCCCAGCACCCACATGGTGGTTCACAATAGTCCGTAACTCCAATCTCAAGGAATACAACGCCCTCTTCCGGTCTCTGCTGGTACCAGTGCACAAATAGTGTACATACATCATGCATGTAGGCAAAAGCTCATACACATAATTTCAAAAATCAAAGTATGGGATAAAAATCTTTAGAGAAAACAAAACAAAACAACAACAACAAAAAATTGGGCCTGGAGAAATGACTCAGTAAGCTGCTCTGTCGGACCTGAGTTCAGTTCCCAGTCCTACCAAGTGACTTAGCACACTTGTGACCCCAATGCCAGGGTATCTGACACCTCTGGCCTCTGCCAGTCCTCGCATTCATGTGCACCTACCACACTCAGGCAATTATATACATACACATTATTTAAAATACTAAAAAACTAAAAACCCAACAAGACAGAAAACAGGAAAACTTTTGAGTAAGTTTATGGTTTTGTTGGGTCACATTGCTACCTTCAGTCACCTGGTCACTTAGCCCCTGCCCAATGAGTAGCATGGTAAAAGACCTTTCCTTTTTAGCAGGGGATAGGATGAGAAGCACATGCTTCTAAAACTTTAAGTTAGCTTGGCTTCTGATTTTGAGCAGTTAAAGCAGAGCTGGGCAAGTTGCTCTCACTTTTGTGAAGGCCTGCTTTGTGTCAGTCACAAACTCCCTGGTACAAAACGAGGCACGGTTAGATTCACCCCACCCTGGGACAACAACAGCCACCACCAAATTTGTTCATTTTCTCCTCATTGTCTTGGAAAAGCACCAGAGTTGCAAGTATGTCTACCAAAGGGTGCAAGGAAAGGAATGGAGGGGTGTGGTTGTGACGAAGCTCTGTGTAGTAGGGGTCACTCATAAGGCTTTGCTTTTAGGCCTAAAAGGCAATCTTCTTTTAAGAAAAAGACACTCACTATATAATCCTGGCTGGCCTGGAACTCACAGAAATCCGCCTATGCCTCCCAAGTGCTGGAATTAAAGGTATGTGCCACTGTCAAGCTACCATAACCCAGGTTTTACAAGGGTGCTGGACATTGAACTCAGTGTGTATGTTTGCTGTTTACATGGAATACACTTTGCCAACTGAGCTATCTCTGAAGTCCCACTCCCTTTTAATTTAAAGTTTATTAATTTTACTTAAGTGGGGACGGGGTATATTTGTGCCACAGTACATTCCAGTATTAACCCAGGTCCTCACATTACACTCCATGAAAGTAAGCCACATTTTGGCACTATTAGATCAGGTACTATTTTACTAAAGAAAAACAAAAATATCATCCCTGACACTTAATTAGGAAAAATAATCTACCTTCCAAATAATTTGTTGATATTCAATATATTTTTCCAAATAAAAGATAGTAAAGAAGTCTTATTTATTTAAAGGTCTCACTATGTTGCCTTGGCTGGCCTGGAACTCAGGATGTAGACCAGGCTGACCTCAAACTCAGAGATCCACCGACCTCTGCCTCCCAAGTGCTGAAATTAAAGGAATGTACTACCATGTCTGACAAGAAGCCTTTTGAGGGAATACCCAATTCCTAAAGCATCCTCCCTAACTTCCTGGCCATTTACTCATCACTGTTTGACAAGGAGAAGGCTCCAGGGTACTGCAGACTGCTACTCTTTTAAGAACGCTTCATTTGACTGATTCTCAGCTGCTCCCAACAAATTGAAGACTCCAGACCTGCCAAAAGCTCTAAGAAGCTTTAATCCTACAAAAAAACTACAGTCAGGAGTGTGTGTGTGTACTCAAATACATACAACAGAAAGGCACAATACCTAGAAAATGGAGACAAAGCAATGAATACACCTGGATAGATTATTTTCTTTAAAAAAAAAAATATCATTAATCTTTAATTTTAGATCCTATTCCAGTATCATGAATCAGCAAGCAGACATCAAAGTTAGAGTCCAGTAAACATCTTATTTTATAATACTCTTTTATTTGATTAAAGAATTTGCCTTCGTTGTGTACATTGGAATGTTATATTCCCTATGTATTTTACAGGGTTACAAAATGCCTCTCATTTTAAATATTACCCCAAAAGTAATTTCAGAAAAAAAGTCTTTGTGAAATTAAACTTGACTTTAAAAATCTTAGGGACAAACAACTCTGAAATACAACTAGATTAATAAGATTTCTTGTCTACTTAACTACATGACAGACTTCTTATCCCAGTCCCTTTCCTCAGAAAACCTCACATGAAAAGCAAGCTAGAGATAAGGATTCTTCCCTGATGCAGTTTAGAGAAAGGGAAAGGCTAGAAATTTCTTTGGCAAGCCATCCCAGCCAGGGCCTTTTTTCGTGACTGCTCTGCTTTATGGATAGTATACTCTTGCCAGGGAGGTCCAGGTGTTCAGAGGGAGAGCTCTGCTGTCAAGCCACCTGGGAGTGTGGAGGTCATCTACTGTCATTTACTGCTTCCCACTGCTACTGCCTGCAGCCTTGCAGCAACTGATCATCCATTCCGCTCAGTGCTATGCTTGGCCTATGATTCAGCCTCCATCAAAAAGGTAATAGATCAAATGGAGCTTAAAAACAATTACTACATGATGACACCAAAAAGGCTGAGGATAAAAAAGGTTTTCAGAAACAAGGACAGATAGGCAGGTGGTAAATGTCAGGTTAGATGGAGTATATTTGAGTAACCCCTTGATACAGACCAATATAATCACCTGCCTCTCAAAATGCTACCACTCAAATGGTGAACATGGGGTCTCTTCAGTGGTTTAGGGCTAATGGGAAATGACAGACTCACTAGCCCCGTTTCTGCTGGAACAAAGACTGATGGAGGGAAGAGCATTTTGGAAATGGGAGGGTGGAGGTGGACATGAGGAATCTAAGGACTATGATACCTTGAGTGACTATGCTTCAATTCAATTGGAGAACTGAGTTTGGGCAGCTCTAGCAGCAGACATGATTATATGCGGAATTAGATGTAGCCATCTTATTAGGCATCTAGAAAAACTGTGTATCTGAAAGCTGCTTTTCAGCTACCTTTAATATTGACACCAGTGGGATTCACAGCACTGCCCACAATGGGAAGGGCAGGGCTTACAAGAAATGGAGCAATCGATGGATATAGGAGAGGACACAAGAAATCCTTGTATTTCAACTTGTACACTGCGCATCCCTTAAGCAGTTCACTGGTACTGTCTAAAGTCAAGATGGGTTCGATAACCTTGTTCTAGGAGTGCTGAACACAATTCCTACAAACAGATGATCCCAGGGCGTGACTGAGTGTACTGAAGGAAAGACTGAAAGGAAAGGGGTGTCAAAGGTTCATATCTATAGAGGAAATTTTTTTTAAAACAAAGAATGAAATGTAACTATAATTAGGGCTTAAAATAAAAGGAGCCTTAGGTAAAGGCAGAAGAGCTGTTTACTGGGGCATTCCCTGGACAGCTTGCTTCCTGTTGGCCAGTAAAATCTGCCAAAGAAATCAGCAGCCTTTCCCTTTATGTCAGTGTCCTTTCTTTGTCAAAAAATGTCTCTGTGACACCGCAACACTGGGGGTGAGCTGAGGGTCCTTGCACGCAGAGAATGTGCACTGTATCAGGAAAAAAAAAAAAAAAAAGGAGGGGTCTCCAATGGCTTGTAAATTTGGAAAATCTCTTCAGCCACTTTTGGCTTCTTCTTTATTAATCTGAAATCCTTCCTTTTCGGCTTCCCTTCTTGGTATTACAGGATTTCATATTTGTCCACTAAGAAAGTGGTCTCCGTGGAAAACCTGACAGGGCTGTTTCCATCTACCTGGGTCACTTTGGTAACCTAGGAAAACAGAGAGAAGGTGGGGGAGGTAAGAAAAAAGAACTGTGAGTCTACAAGATGTTGAATTACAGATCACATACATTTTTCTAAAAGTAGCTTAGAAATACTAAAAAGCACTCAGTTCACACTTGAAGCTTGTGGCATGACCTAATCTGTTCTCGAGAGAAAAACAACTGCTGCAGTAAGACAGCGGCTGCCATAAGTAAAAGCCAGAATGAGTGGCAAGGTCTCGCTCTGCCATACAAAACCCAGAAAAGTCACACAATCTATAAGGATGATCATTTTAACATTCTGATCATAAATGCAGCACACTAAAGCTCCTGTATTACTTATTATTAAATCCATCTCAGTTTCTTGTGTACAACACCCCACTATGTTGTAAGATTTTTCTTTTCTAAATATTCCTTTATATATACGGGTGTTTTACGTGCATGTCTGTGCATCATTTGTGTGTCTGTTGGCAGCAAAAGCCTAGTAGGGAGTGGATCAGCTGGGACTGGAGCCACAGACAGTTGTAAGCAGCCATTTAGACACTGGGACTCAAACCTGGGTCCTCTGGAAGGGAGCAGCCAGTGCTCTTAACCACTGAGCTATCTCTCCAGCTCCAAGACTAGTGTTTTCTTCTTTTTTGTTTATTTCTGTTTTTTAAATAGGGTTTCTCTGTGAAGCCCTGGCTGTTCTTAAACTTACTCTGTACACCAGGTTGTCTTCAAACTCAGAACTCAAAGAGATCTGCCTGCCTTAAGGCATGTGCCACCATTGCCTGGCTTAAGATTAGTCTTATTTTGCTATTGTTGTTGGGTTTTGTTTTTTGTTTTTGAGATAGAATTTCCCTGTGTAGGCCTGGCTGTCCTGAACTCCCTCTGTAGATTGGGTTGGCCTTGAACTCACAGAGAGATCCACTGGCCTCTGCCTCCCAAGTGTTCGGATTAAAGGCGTAAGCCACTATGCTCACCTCAGAATCACATTTTTTAAAACCCAAGGCTTGTGGTATGTTAGCTAACCACTCTCCACTGAGCCATGTTCCTAGTCTTATGCAATAATTTTGCTTCTAAATAAAAAATTTGGGGCTAAGAGTGTAACCCAGTGGTAGAATTTGCCTAGCATGCTGAAGTCCTGGTTGGAATCTTGGCACTATTCAATCCTAATGGATTTTCTTTTCTTTTCATCGTCCCCACCTCCCCAGACAGGGTTTCTCTATGTAGCCTTGACTGTCTTGGACTTGCTTTGTAAACCAAGCTGGCCTTGAACTAAGAGATCCTCCTGTTTCCACCTCCCAAGTGCTGAAATTACAAGTGTGCACCACCGTGCCCAGAAGCTAACATATTTTTATTTCCTGGGTAAAAGGTAAAGCAACAACAAGGCGCTGCAAAGCCATAGAAAAATGGATTTTAAGATACATGAGGTTAGAATGAATTTAATGCATATGAATCATGTATAATCAGTAAGTACTTTTATGTAAAACATTTTATTTATTTCTAAACTTTATCTAGAGAAGAAATCTGAGGCCAGCAGGATGGCTCAGTAGGTACAGCAGTGTGCCTAGGAAAGAACTGACTCCACTAAGCTGTCCCCTGACCTCCACCAAATGTGCTGGCACACACACACACACACACACACAAAATTATTTTCTTTCTTTTTAGATTTATTTTATTTTATGTGTGTGTATGTATGTGCCTGGTGCCTACAGAGGGCAGAGGAGGGCATTGGAGCCACTGGAATTGGAGTTATGGATGATCATAAACATCCATGTTGCTGCTGGGAACCAAACCTAGGTTCTCTTCAAGAGCAGTAAGTAGTCTTTTAACTACTGAGCTGCCTTTCTAGCCCCTACAAACAGAAAATTAAAAAAAAAAAAAAGCCCTTGGAAGGCAGACCTCTATGAGCTAGAGGAACACCTGGTCTACATAGCAAGTTCTAGGCCAGCCAACAGCCAGGACTATATAATCAGACCCTGTTGTAAAAGGGGAGGGGGGAGAAGATAAGAAATATGATGAGTGTGTCAGAACTAGAATCAGCAGAAGATATCAGCTTTGATTTTTGTCTGGACATGCTACCTATCAAGACACTTGTCCTGCCTTTCCCATACCTGCCTTCTGTTACAACAGAGTACCTGTATGTTGCAGTAATTTTTCTTGGAGATGAAGGAAACTTGAACAGGGAAGAAGTCATTGGGCTGCCCAGGGATGCTGAACTCCAGGCTGCCACTCTTATTTTTGGCATCAATCACTGGCAGGCACCACTCCAAAGTATTTCGCCGACTGTCATGCCGATATTCCCCATCGATCTCACCAATCACAGGTGCACCAACACCTGATCTGTAATGAGAAACAGCTGCTCAATGTAAAACCAACCTCAAATTTGATCACATATCTCAAATTCTGCCTCAAATTTTCTAAAAATTATGCTGCTTAGTAACTTCAAGGATCAAAGTTGTGACACCTTGGCCAAGTAATAATTTTGTTCCCTTTTGTAGAGAAAGATGTATAGAATAACAACATAGACGTTTAGGATACGGCTCTGGGGGCTGACTAGACCTGGGAGCTAGCAGGGAACTGATACTGCAAATGTCATGTTTTCATTGTAAAAATCACTAATGGTTCGTTAGCCTGTTAAGAGCTTTTTAAAAAAGTTATTTATTTATTTTATGTATATGAGTGTTCTATCTGCATGTACGCCTACATGCCAGAAAAGGGCATCAGATCCCATTATAGATTGTCATGAGCCACCATGTGGGTTCTGGGAATTGAACTCAGAACTTCTAGAAAAGCAGCCATCTCTTTAGCTCTTTACCTCTGAGCCACATCTCTAGCTCTGTTAAGGACTTTTAAACAATGAAGCTCTTTAATAAATAACAATGAGAAATAAAGCAGGTTGTTAGTGGGGGAAACTTTACACACCAATAATATAGGTGAATGTGGATCTTCAAGAAGCGTTGTTTTCAAAGAGTTCAGAATGTTTCAAGCCTTACTGAAGACAATGCTAGTGAGTGTATCTGACTTATAATTTAGTGAATTTATTTGCTAAATGAAAAATGAAAGCATGACTACAAAATCTGGGCAAAATAGAAATAGCCTGGAAGAAGAAATACATGGTTGTCTTTGGTCACAGAAGAATCAGGGCTAGTTAGTATGTACTTTGCACTCCCGCAAATGGCTGACAGGCAGTGTCACCCGCTCCCACACATTCTAAATTTACCTTCTTTTAGTTCACCAGTGACACTCAATGCTTACGTTAGGGGCAGGGTAAGTAAAGAAAACAAAGACTACTTTAAGGGTGGCAAAAGTCTTTAAGTCTTTCCCATCAATTTTACAGTGTTTGTTCCTTCTCTGTACCCCAATTCTGATTCTGACTTCTAATCTGATTAGCTACAGACACTGGGGTAAAATGTTTTCTAAAGATCTCTTCTTCTTCAGGCCACTGCAAAAATTGAACAAAGACACAGGAAACCACTACAGCCATAATTATAGAGTAGACAGAAAGGCCTAGAAACTGTGGCATCCTAAAAATAGTCTAGTAAAATAAATATCAACAAAGTCAACCTGTCAGTGATGCCCAAGTCCTACCACTGTTCAAGGTAGCTATCTATTGTTCTAGAGGAAAAACTGACTCACTGTGAACACAGTCACCCAATTATTATTTTACTGTTTTCAAAATAGGGTCTTTTTGTATAGCACAGGCTTACAATCAGAACTCTCCTGCCTCTGCCCTTCAAGAGCTGGAACTGCAGGTATGTTAGTTAATCTTATTAAGGGAAACATTGGTATAGTGGTTTGAATATAGCATATTTTAAAAACCAGAAATAAGAATGACTAAAATTAGACTTGGTTAAGATAAACTCCTTAGTAATCAAAGAAAACAAAACTAGAAATAAGTATCATTTTGTTGCAATAAAAATGGAGGCACAGGGGCTAGAGAGATGGCTCAGAGGTTAAGAGCACTGGCTGCTCCTCCAGAGGTCCTGAGTTCAATTCCCATCAACCACATAATAGCTCATAACCATCTATAATGAGATCTGGTGCCCTCTTGTGGCCTGCAGGCATACATGCAGGCAGAACATTGTATTCATAATAAATAAATAAATAAATCTTTAAAAAAAAAAGGCATATAAAAATACAAATACTCTATGACTCACAATTAAACCCTGTACTGCTTGTGCCAGGGCTGAGGGAGAGGCTAAAAGCTGAGCTGCGCTGTTGAGGTAATGGCAGTACGCACACTACTTAGAGATGCACAAGAAGCAAACCTGAGGCACACAAAATTTCTAGAGGACCCTGAGAGTCCAGTGAAATACACAAGACGTCACTGCAACTAAAAACTTGAGGTGCATGTATACGTAACAGGAATTCTGTCTGTGATAGGGTCTCACTCTGTAGCCAAAGATGACCTGGAACTCAAACTCAGAGGGATCCTCCTGCTTTGATCTCCCCAGTGCTGGGATTATAATGTTTAAGCCACCAAATCCAGCTTGAGACACATGTTTATCGTGCCTATATTGACAGCTTCCCAGGTGTATAACGTCAACATTTACTGCACTGCATACTTTATGTCAATCATAACTTAAAGCTTCTAGAAGACTTAATGAAACTAATACAGACATACTGTATCCAAAATACACTCCCACCTTCAGTGAAAGAGAAAGAAAGGGGCTGCAGAGATGGCTCCGTGGTTAAGAGCACTGGTTACCTCTTCCACAGGTCCTGAGTTCAATTCCCAGCAACCACATGGTGGATCATGACCACTTATAATAAGATCTGATGCCCTTTTCTGGTATGCAAGTATACATGCAGACAGAGCACTCATATACATAAAATAAATAAATCTTTTAAAAAAAGAGAAAAAAAAATGCAGGCTGACAGACTAAACTCTGTAATGTGCAAAAGCAGTCTGACTGGGAAGTAGCCTGTCTTCCTGCCCATCGGATGACTACATAAGCAAGCAAAGTCTATTTCGAGAAAACAGCTCCAGCACTACAACTCTTTGTTTTGGTTTCAAAGTAAATTCCATCTACCCCTTTCAAAATGAGGCATGGTATTGAAGCCTTTAACCCCAGCACTAAGAGGCAGAGAAAGTGGATCTCAGGATAGCCAGGGCTACATAGTGACACCCTGTCTCAAAAAATTCAACTTAACCAAGCCAAACAAACAAATCAAAGTACATAGATCAATGCACTCCTACAAATATAAGTCGTGTTGTGAAGCCTACCAACTCAAGTCAGAGAACATTCCATCACCTGGCAAAGGTTCTTTTTGCTCTTTTCCCACCAAGTACTTTCCTCTCTACCTCTTGACTTCTGTTCAGAGTACTACCCCTTTCTAGGAAGCCAGGCGTGCCTGTCTTCTTTTACACTAGTCACTGATTCCCATCCCACCCCTTTTCTTTCTCAAAACAGGGTCACATATAGCCTACGGTGACCTCCTATCTCCATCTTCCAAGTGCTAAAATTATAGGCCTATTCCACCATACTAGGTTTCACAACTGTTTTTTTTTATTCATTTTTTTAATTAATTAATTTTTATTTTTGGTGATAAGGTTTTTCTGTTTAGCCCTGGCTATTCTAGAACTTGCTGTGTAGACCAGGCTTGCCTTGAACTCTGAAATCCCCCTGCCTCTGCCTCCAGAGTGCTGGTATTTTTAAAGAAGCAAGTATCAGTCATGTCTAGTGCTCAGACCACCTATGCTTGAAACTAAGGCAGGAGGACCACAAGTTCAATGCCAATCTGAACAGCTTAGAAACCTGTGAAACCATATCTCAAAACAGGTAAAAAGGACTGGGAATGTAGCTCAGTGGTAGAGATCTTGCTGTGTTTAAGTCTTTAGGTTTAATCAGTATTACCACAGGGGGAAGAAAATCAGCAAACATTTCAGAATGAATATGCAGTGAGATACTGCCTCTAAAATTGATCCCCGACCCCAGGAACCAGCTCTGTAAACCAACACAGGGAAAAGGATTATGAAAAGAATTTCACTTACGGGAGGGGGATGGTGATGACCACATCATTGAGCTCCAAATTATCTTCCTGTAGTTCATATTCTATGTTGACATCACAGCCGTTTCCACTTTCCGAGGGCCAGCAATTAACTGAGGAAAAAGACTTCAGTTTTAGAGAAAGAACAGAATTGTTTTTTGGCCTTTGGGCTAATATCAAGGGTATGGAAGAGTAGAAAATGTTAAAACAGCAAATATAAGCTGACTGACGACTGCAAACCTACGGCCTCCTAATGTAAACTAAACACTGGTGGCTCGAAACTATCTGTAATTCCAGCTCCAGGGGATCCGATGACTTCTGGCCTTCACAGGTACCTAATTCATGGGTGGCACACATTCAAAGACACACATACACGAAAATAATCTTTAAAAAAAAAAACCCAAATGACTAGTTAAACTATACAAAATATAGCTTGAAAAGACAATCATGGGCTGAAGAGATGGCTCAGTGGTTAAAAGCACTTGCCTGCTCTTCCAGAGGTCCTGAGATCAAGTCCCAGCAACCACATGGTGGATCATAACCATCTATATTGAGATCTGATACCATCCTCTGGCATGTAGGTGTACATAAAGATAGAGCATTCATATACATAAAATTAACAAATAAATAAAAAGAAAGAAAGAAAGAAAGAAAGAAAGAAAGAAAGAAAGAAAGAAAAGACAATCACTTTGCCAAAAAGAACTTGCTACGGCAATGAAGATTACAGCATACCCATTAGAGGCACCTACTTGTCAAAGGAATGAAAGATTCCTCTGTTGTCTGTAGTCTCCATTTTAGTACCCCTACATCACTGTTGACTGGAAATGACTTCTCTGGGTTTTTCAAGCCAATGAGAGACTCTGCAGTAAAAAGTTTTTTATCCACATTTGGATGGGTCTGAAATGAAGAGAAGGAAACCCGAAGGTCAGAATGATAAGTAAAGGGGCTAACATGGTGGCTCAGCAGGTAAAGGCATTTTCTCATAAGCCCAACGACTTGACTTCAGTCCCTGGAACCCACACAGAAGGAGAAGAGAACCAACACTTGAGAGTTATCCTCTAACCTCTACAAACACAACATGGCACATGTATGCCCACACAGACACACATACACAACCACACAACATAGACAAACACATAGTAAATAAACAAATGCACTAAAAATTAAAGAAAGAAAGAAAGAAAGAAAGAAAAAAAGAAAGAAAGAAAGAAAGAAAGAAAGAAAGAAAGAAAGAAAGAAAGAGGAAAAGGAAGCTGAAAATGTAGCTCAGTTGACAAAGTACTTGCCTAGAATACACAGGGCTCTGAGTTCAATTGCTTGCAATCCTGGCACTCTACAGTAGGAGGCAGAAGGATCAAGCGACTAGAAGTTGAAAGTCATGCTCTGTTACATAGTGAGTCTGAGGCCAGCCTGACCTGTATGAGAACTTGACTCAACTAACACTCATCAAAAAGGGAGGGGCGGAGAACGGGTAACAGAGAAAATAAATCTCTCTGGACTTACAACTCCCATAAACAGGATTTCTAATAAATTACAATTCTTTTTAATTTTGTGGAAAGATGAGTCTTCTTTAAAGACCTAACATTTTAGACCAGAGCTACACAGTAACACCTTATTAAAAAGGCCAAAAGCCCGATGGGGTGGTGCATGCCTGTATTCCCAGCACTCAGAAAGCAGAGGCAGGTGGATCTCTGTGAGTTCCAGGCCAGCCTGGTCTACAAAGCGAGTCCAGGACAGTCAAGGCTACACAGAGAAACCCTGTCTCAAAAAAAAAAAAAAAAAAAAAAACAACAACAACAAGCAAACAAAAAGGTCAAGGCTATTGCTGAGTGTAGTGTAAGAGCACTTGTCTAGCTCAAGTAAGAGTCTGTGTTCAATTTCAACAGAAAACCCAGAACAAGGACTGTGCAAGGTAGACAATGCTTAAACACTCAGTGTGAGAAGTCTCTACACACCTGTAGCTGTACCCCTTTCTTATCTTCATTTTCTACATGAAGACGAATCCGGGCAAATTTGTCATCTGAGATCCTAAGCATGATCATGCCATGCAACTCCATATTCTGTAACCCTCCATCTCTCCCACAGGTTAGTGTGATCTTTTCTTCGATCTTCATATGCACACTAGAAAGCAAAGGTAAATCAATTTGTCAGAAAAGTAGAAACCAGGTTGGAGATGTAGTTAAGTTGGTCGTGTATGTCTAACATGCATGAAGCACTGTGTTTAATAGCCAGATCCACATAAAACCAGATATGAGATGGTACTGCTTTGGTATGTGTACTTGGGAGGTAGGGTTGGGAGGAGAATCAGGAGTTCAGGTCCTTTTTGGCTCATAGTGAGTTGAAGGCCAATCTGAACCACAAGAGACCCCATCATTAAAAAGAAAGAGAGAGGGCTAGAGAGATGGTTCAGCTGTTAGAACACATACTACTTGTGCAGAAGACCCAAGTTTGGCTGCCAGCACCACAAATGGAACAGCTTACAATCACCTGTAACTCCAACTCCAGGAGAGACAATGCCCTCTTCTGGAGTCCTATGTACCTGCACTCATGTGTAGTATCACACCGTAGTATCACACCCTGCCCAAACACAAACTTATACATAATATTAAAAGAGTAAAAGTAAATTTTAAAAAGAAAGAAAAGAAACCAGAATGCAGTGTTACTCTGGAGTTTAATGATTAGTCTCAATTAAAGCTTTATACTCTTTCAGGGCCTAGATGGGCCAAATAGGTAAAAGCACAAAGCTTAATGACCAGAATTTTTGGAACCAATAGTGGGACAAAAGGATAAAAGTTTCTAGAGAAACTGTCGCCGACTTTTATACATATTCTGTGGCATGAGAGTGCTCACATTCACACACACACACAATAACTTTTAAAAATAGATTTATTCATTGGGTGTTTTCCTGTATGTATGTATATATGTAAGTGCATTACCAAGTACATGTTTGATCCTTGAGGGAATCAGAAGAGAACAGATTACCTGGAACTGGAATTAGGGACGGTTGTAAACTATCATGTTGTACTAGGAATCCAACCCAGATCCTCCACAAGAGTAACAAGTGCTCTTAACCGGGGAGCCATCTCTTCAGCAGCCCAACAATTTTTTTTAAAAAGCTTTACACTTATGGGCAAGACAAACTGGATTTCGCTCATTTACGGGGGGTACAAGGGTAGGAGGGTAGACCTGAGAGGAATAGGTAGCAAGTGTGATTGTGGTGCATTGTAGGTAATTACCAAATAATAAAAATTGTGTTGCAGAAAAATAAAATCCCCCCCCCCCAAAAAAAAGTTTGTACTTTTGGATAAAGCAAGTCCTTGTAGGGTTCATGGACCGACACATTCCTGGCCATGGTGTTTATAGAGAATCTTACAAGGCCTTTCCAGAATTTATCCTAAAAATAAATTCTCATTCACGAAACAACACAAGTGTTATCTACTAAAGAATGGTTTTAGTAACAAAAGTTTAGATGTCTACCTACATAGGAGGGGAGTGTACGCAAATAAATACTGGGAGAAATAATAAAGGAAAAAACCTTCGACATGAAAAATATGTTTAAGTAAACATGGAAGCACATGCCTACAATCTGAGCACTAAGGAGGCAAAAGCAGGAGTCTCAAAAGCAGGGCTCCTACAGAGAATTGCCACATGTTTCAAAAGAAAAAAAAATATTTTGAAGATAGGTACTATTTAAAGGTGGACAATGCTTCCCCTAGACATGAGTTATTAAATAAAAACCTCTGTGCCAAGTACAGTATACAAGGCTTCCAAAACAACAAAGGCTATTGCCACTGCTCTTATTGCTCACCTTACCTAGATGATAAGGCTAGTGTCGAAGATATAACTCAGTTTGTTGCAGGACATGGAGAAATTGGTGGAACTGACCTGAAAACTTCCTCCATGTTGGTTAGCTTTCAGTACTGGAAGGTACTGTGCAGGCCACTGGGGAGAAAAGATGAACGGCCTTCCCCATTACTGGACCCTGAATTCTGCACTATTGATCTGCCAGGCAAGGTATGCCCGATGGGGCAAAAGCTGCAGGAAGGACACAGGGTAGGTGACCAACTGCTTTCTGGTTTGATCTGAGGCCTACCCTTCGCAAGAAGGAATTCATGCCTGACACTGTAAACCTGAGAGGTCACAGGCCCTCGTGGAAAACTTACGGTTATTCTGCTAAATGCTTCCTAAATATTTATGTTTATACTCAGATTAGTGTTGCTCCCAATCTTGGCTAGAGAAGCCTCTTATTGCAGTTGGAAACAATACAAAGACTCCTAACTGTTCAAAATGCTGAGAGTAGCCAGTGGTGCATGCTTGTGATCCCAGCACTAGGGGAGGCAGAGGCAGGCAGATCTCAGTGGGTTCAAGGCCCTGTTCTACAAAGTGAGTCTATGACAGCCAAGGACACAGAGAAACCCTGTCTGGAAAAACCAAAACTAAAACTAACCAACCAAACAATCTAAAGCGCTGAGAGTAGCTGTTGAGTGCTCAGTCCTAAATGGGACATCTTTATTAATATCTTCTTCTTCAGGCTCAGGGAAGCTCACAGAAGAAGGGGTGCAACAACGTTAAGAGCCAAAGAAATGCTATCTTCTGAATGTGATACAGCTGTTGCACTTATGAACTCACCGTAGCCACTGTTGTGTGGACAAGATCAAGCCAACAAGATCAGCAAACATTCTAACAAGCAGCTCTAATTGGGTTCAGTGGCTTACAAAAAGGACACAAACAAATAAATAGAGGTCCTGAACATTGAAGGGGAACATGTTGACGAGTGTCCAAGTGAGTGGGAAAACCTATGGTGGGTATGATCAAGATACAATGTATACATGTATGAAGATGTCAAAGAATAAAATATATCCTGAAAAATAGTAAAATTTAAACAAAGAATGCATATGTGGGCTGAAGAGATGACTCAGTGGTTAAGAGCATTGACTGCTTTTCCAGAGGACCTGGGTTCAATTCCCAGCACCTTCATGTAGGTTACTGTCTGTAACTCTGAGATATGACACCTTCACACAGACATACATACAGACAGAACACCAATGCACATAAAATAAAAATAAATGTGTTAAAAAAAAAAGATTACATATGCTTTATGAAGTTTATCTGTTGTTTCTCCACTCCCACCCCCACCACTGCCCCTTCGCTTTTTCTGTATAGCTCTAGCTGTCCTGGAACTCACTTTGTAGACCAGACTGGCCTCAAACTAATGGAGATCCATCTGCCTCTGCCTCCGAAGTGCTGAGATGAAAGGCGTGTGCCACCACCAAGTTTACCTATTGTTAACATCATACATCTCCCATCTGTTTCATCATCTGTACTCTCATATTCTCTCCTTAAACATTACCTATATATGTAGATGCTGATTTTTTTTCTCCCATGAACTATTAAGAGGCAGGTTATTAACACCATAGCCCTTTTACCTCTAAACACTTCATTCTTACTTTACAAAAAAAAGGACATTCTTATACTAGGTATAGGTCATTATTAAGTGCTTGTTTGCTTAGCATGCATGAGAGTACTCTCTTATATAGCCACATTAATGCCATCATCAACTTCATGAATTTACACTAAATACTTTCATCTAACCTACCAACAGTATGTCAGTTGTCTTATTATCACAAGATACAGTACAGGATCCTATCCAGGGCAAAGCACTGCATTTAGATATCACATTGCGATGGTTCCAAGTAAGTAAATTTTGGGTTTTTTTTTTTTTTTTTTCTTTGGTGTTGTTGTTTTTGTATTTTTCAGACAGGGTTTCTCTGTATAGCCTTGGCTGTTCTGGAAGTCACTCTGTAGACCAGGCTGGCCTCAAACTTGGGAGCTCCACCTGCCTCTGCCTCTTGAGTGCTGGGATTAAAGACATGTACCCCTACCACCACCTGACTAGGGTTTTCTTCTTGTACATCTCTAAGAATTGAACGCAGGGCCTTCCCCATGTTAGGAAAGCACTACTGAGTAGCACCCCAGCCCTCAAATGAATAAATTACTCATGATCTATAATTTAGCGAGGAAACCCAACTGGAAAATTCATTTGAGTGAGAATAGCCTCCATATGCTCATATTTGAATGTCTGGTTCCTAGTTGGTGAACAGTTTAAGAAGAATTAGAAGGTATGGTCTTTGTTGGAGGAGGTATATCACTAGGGGGTTGGCTTTGAGGTTTCAGAAGCCTATACCTAGGCTTTTTTTCTCTGCCAGCTGTCTGAGAATCAGAAGTTCTCAGCTGCTGCTCTAGCACCATGCCTGCCTGCCTGCCGCAATGCTCCCTGCCATGATGATCATGAACTAACCCTCCAAAACTGTAAGCAGCCCCCAATTAAATGCTTTCTAAGTTGACTTGTTCACAATGGGTTTTTTATTTGTTACAGCAATAGAACATAACTAAGATATAAGTATATGTCTCCTTCGTATAAAGATTTTATTTTTTTGTTTCTTTTGGTTTTTCAAGACAGGGTTTTTCTGTGTAGCCTTGGCTGTCCTAGACTACCTTTGTAGACCAAGAAAGACTTTTATACAAACATTAATTTTTTTTTTTTTTAACTAGAGGTGCTGGAGAGATGGCTCAGTGGTTAAGAGCACTATCTGTTCTTCCAGAGGTCCTGAGTTCAATTACCAGAAACCACATGATGGCTCATAACCATCTATACTAGGATCTGATGCCCTCTTCTGGCATGCAGGTATAAATTCAGACATAGCACTCATACATGTAAAATAAATAATTAAATCTTCAATTTTTTTCTTACTATAAAAGTTAGAATTATATAACAATAAAAAACAATGTTATTGCTATGAGCAATTAGTAGGCACAGTCTATACGTATCCTACAAAAGAAATGTTCCTCTATACGTATGTGTGTGTGTGTGTGTGTGTGTGTGTGTGTGTGTGTGTGCGCGCGCGGTGCCTGCAGAAGCCAGAACTAGAATTATAGACGATTGTGACTCACCCTGTGGGTGCTGAGACCTGAACTTGGGTCCTCTAAAAGAGCAGCCAGTCAAAACTCTTACCTGCTGAGCCATCTTCCCAGCTCTAGATTATGTTGAAGCTAAGTAAACCACAGTGGCTACAAAGAATAATTTGTTTTTTTGCCCTAGCCTCATAGTTCTTTTCAGAAACAAAGGCACCATATTGAAAAATATAGAAGTCTAAATCTTTGCATAATGTAGGGCCCCACTTCAACTTTTAAGAGTTACCTCTGTGCTTGATATAACTTAATTACTTAGAAAAGAGTCTTAAATTCTTATTTATATGTGATGATTGTTCATAAAGTGTGAAGCCTCCAGTGGTTAAGAACACATTCTGCTCTCACAGAAGACCTGAGTTCAGCTGCCAGCACCCATGTGGAGTGAGCTCACAACAGCTTTTAACTCTAGTGCTAGGGGATACCAATGCCCTCTTCTGGTTTCTGTGGGCACCTGCACTCACACATGCACAGACCCATACACATAACACATAATTAAAAATAAATAAATAAATAAAGCATGGAGGCTAGAGGGATGGTTCAGTAGTTAAGAGTACTGGCTGCTCTTCCAGAAGACCTGGATCCAATACCCAGCACTGACATGGCAGCTCACAACTGTCTGTAATTCCAGTTCCAGGGGATCTGACACCCTCACACAGACATACAGGTAGACAAAACACCAATGCATATAAAATACAAAGAAATAAATTATTTTTTTAAGAAAAGTATGGGACTAGAGAGATGGCTTAGTGGGTAAGCCCTGGCTGCTCTTCCAGAGGACCCAGGTTCAATTCTCAGCACCCACATGGCAGCTCATAGCTGTCTGTAACTCCTGTTCCAAGGGATCTGGCTCCCTCACACATGCAGACAAAACACCAACGTACAAAAAATAAAATAAAATAAAATAAAATAGCATGAAGCCTCAGCTTTTCTCAAAACCAAAATAGCACAAGTACTTTAGTGAGTGAAGAGACTCATCCAAATGTAACTATTCATTTCTAACAAAACAGAACACACAAAGAGTAAACAGACCCCTTATGCACACCTGATAGTGGTTTCCTCCCAGACTCATCTTTCAGTTGACCTCAAAACTTATCAATAACTGTAGGTCTGGAATTAAGGACAAACATTTTTCTTCTTGAGTATATGAAACCCGATTAACCTATCACTTAAAAATGCCATCAACCATTGTTTCAGCCCGAGATAAAAGACAAATCAAATTGTATTGGACTCAAATACTTAAAAGGTAGCATGGTAATTTGCTTTAAAGACCTTTACAAATTTTATATTAAAGGTTGACTTTCCTTTATAGCTTTAATTAGAAAAAGACAGGACAAAATATTGGGTTAATATAGTTCTAGCTCTGTAATTTGAGTCCTTTTTTTTTTTTTTTTTTTTTTTTTTTTTTTTTTTCTTTGAGCAAGGTTCTCAAATAACTGAGACTGGCCTTGAACTCCAGATCTTCCAACCTCCATCTCCCAAATGCTGGGATTACAGGCATGTTCTACCATGCCATGCTTAAGAGACATATTACACAATAGGCATAAAGTTACTTTGGTCAATAAAAGGCAAATTCTAAACGTCATAGGAACTAGATGGCTGAGAGTCTCCAATGATGATTAAAGTATGGAAAACATACCTTAAGGTAATATCTGGAATATGCTCTAGATAAAAATTTTAAATTAGGAAAAGTTAAAAGACCCAAAAATATGGGGCTGGAATGTATGCAGCTCAGTGGTAGAGAGTATACTCAGCCTGTGAAAATGTTCTGGGTTAGATCCCTAGCACAAAATAGAATTTAAGGACAACATTAAGGAGACGGCACCAGAGTGGGGTGCACATACTATTCTTCGAGAGGAGAGGCCCAGCACCCACGTCATGTAGCTCAAAACTACCTGTAACGCCAGCTCCAGGGAGAGCTAACACCTCTGGCATCTTCAGGCACCTGTGGTCTATAAACCCACACACAGATATACACATAACTGAAAATAATAAAAATATCCAGGCATGTTAATATTTAACTTTAATTCCAGCATTTGAGAGGCAGAGGCAGGAGGATCTCTTTTGAGTCTGAGGCCAGCCTGATCTACACAGTTGAGTTCCAGGCCAGCCAGGGCTACATGGTAAAACCCATCTTAAAGAAAAACATAACAAATTTTTAAAAAGACTATTAAAAAAATTATATTGTTTTTTTCTTGAAGAAGTCACTGCTTACCTTTCCATATTAATGGGTGGAGCATGCACTTTGGTTGCTTCTGAGGTACGTTTCCCCATATTAGAAGACATAATAGTTTCACCTTCCGATTTCAATTTGTCCACAAAGTTATCTACTTCCTTGCCTTTAGCTCCAAGTTTCAAAGCCTTGCTGGGACCTGAAGGTCTAAGTGAAAGAACACAAAACAAGTAAATATATAGTCAAAGAACAAAACCCCCAAACATTATTTTGCCTGCATGTGTGCCTATGGGCCAGAAGAGGGCACCAGATCTCATTATAGATGGTTGTGAGCCACAGTGGTTGCTGGGAATTGAACTCAGGACCTCTGGAAGAGCAGACAGTGCTCTTTACCTCTGAGCCATCTCTCCAGTCCCAACAGTTATAATTTTATAATCATAAGTGGTCTGATGAAAACTTACCATCTTCCATTCTGATAAATGACTATGCACAAAAATTTTTTTAAATCAAAAATTTTAAAATATTCCAAGAGCACCTGCTGCTCTTGCAGAGGATCTGGGTTCAGTTCTCAGTACCAATAAGGCTGCTCACACCTATTACTCCAGTTCAAGGTGATCTGACACCCTCCTCTGGCCTCTCAGACATCAGGCACAAACATGATGCACATACATACATGTAGGCAAAGCAATCATACACATAAAATAATAAATCTTTAAAAATTCAATATTCCACAGTTAAATACCCCTTCCTTCTCCATATAAAACTGTCATAAGAAATGAAGAAATCATGGTGTAATTTGTAGAACTCTCTTATAAACAAAAGGAAAATAACAGATATCTCCTTATTCCTGTCTTTTATGTATCCAAATTTAGTATTACAGCTTACTTCATTAAGTCCCTCATTATTTATAGTGAGCTTAGAAACACACACTTTTGGAGCCCTCCTCTGCCACCTAGGGCTGCCGGTAATACACTTGACAATACCTGGCTGGTGCAGGTGCCACTTTTGGTTTATCAGTTTCAATGATAGTCTCTGTGATCATGGCTGCTGTGCTGCCTCCAGACACTGCAGAACTACCAAATCCCCCAAATCCTGGTGCTTTTTTGCCCTGTCTCTCTGCATCTCTTCGGGCCTGTTGTAATTCCTTTGCTTTACGCCGCATCTCAGCCTTAGCTTCACGTTCTTGAGTCTGTGGAAAAAGACATACTTGTTTGTAGCTTTCAGTACAGTCTACATTAGCAAGCAAAACCTGGAAAACCAGATTAATGAAAGCTAAGAGAAAGACACACAAAGTTTCAGTCTCAGAAGGCCTTACTTACCTCTCTGACTGCTCTGAATACTTTCTCCTCATGAGAGTCCATTTCTGTGAAGGTTCTGATCTGTGCCAGGTTAACATTCTCCCGATATCCCAGGGCAACAATTTCATCAAAAGCAAAAATCAAATCAAAACAGTGCTCAGATATTTCATTTTCCTCTAAGGCCCGGCAATATTCAGGGATCTAATTATGGACAGTAACAGAAAACAAAGATTAAGAATTTCACAGCAGTTGGGTATGGTGCCGCATGCCTGTAATCCCAGTATACTCTGGGAGGCAGAGGCAGACATCTCTGTGAGTTTGAGGCCGACCTGTCTACAAAGCGAGTCCAGGACAGGCAAGACTAAAAAGAGAAACCCTGTCTTGAAAAACCAAAACAAAAAAGATTCTCACAGCAGCTTTCTAAGTCTTGTCTTTTAAATATAAGTTTCAAAAACAATAAATCTTAGCACTTGGGAGGTGTAAATTCAAGGTCATCCTTGGTTACATAGCAAGATTAAAGCCAGCGTAGGCTACGTGAAATCTTGTCTGAAAAAAAAAAACAAAAAAACAAACTAATAAAACAACAATGGTGTTGGAGAGATGGCTCAGTGGTGGAAGAGCACAGACTGCTCTTCCAGAAAACCTGGGTTCAATTCCCAGCACCCACATAGCAGCTTACAACTGTTTGTAACTTCAATTTCAGGAGATATGACACCCTCACTCAGACATACATGGAGGTAAAACACTAATGCATAGTAAGTCCAGCTCTGCAGTGATGGCGCACACCTTTAATACCAGCACTTGGAGGCAGAGACACACGGATCTCTGTGAGTTCAAAGCCAGACTGGTCTACAGAGCAAGTTCAAGGACAGCCAGGACTACACAGAAGAACCCTGTCTCAAACAAATAAACAAATAATAAAAAAAAAAAAACAAGAACAGAAATATGAAGCCTTTCTCAGCCTTTTCTTTAAATGGGAGAGAAACATGGTTCAACAGTTAAGAGTACTGGCTACTCTTAGAGAAGACTCAGGTTCGATTCCTAGCACCACATAGCAGATTCCTAACTCCAGCTCCAGGAGACCTGATGCCCTCTTCCAACCTTCCTGGGCTTGGTGCCAAACTCACAGTAGTCCTGCTTTTGCCTCCCCTGTGCTGCTATTTCATGTGTGTGCCACCAACAGGGGACTTCCTTCTAGCTTTTTTTTATAAATATATGCTAAACTATATTGTGTTTTTTATTGTGCAACAGAAAACCAAAAAGATATTTCTTTTTTATTTTTATCTTATGTACATTGGTGTTCTGCCTGCATGCATGTCTGTATGAGAGTGTCAATCCCCCATGGGATGGGAGTTACAGACAGTTGTAAGCTGCCATGTGGGTGTTGGGAATTGAATCTGGGTTCTCTGGAAGAGCAGCCAATGCTCTTAATCATTGAGCTATCTCTCCAGCCCCTTCTTTCTTCTTTTTAAATTTTTTTACTTTTATTTTCTTTTTATGAGTATTTTCCTATTGTTTTTAATTTTAGGTTTTTTGAGACAGGGTTTCTCTGTGTAGCCCTGGCTGTCCTGGAACTCACTCTATAGACCAGGCTGGTCCACAGGCTGGTTTTTCTGTGCAACC